ACCCCCACCACACACACACACTTCTGCTTCAAACCAATTCTATCTTGTGGAGCTCACCCCGTCACGTTGTTGTGCATCTCTTCTTCTCCTTCTGCGCCTCTTTCGTCTCCACATGTTCTCTCCTACCTCTCATCAACACTCGTAAAGTACGCGCCGCGGTTGCTCTCTCGCTTCATTTTTTCTGTTTTCCCTCCCCTCCCCGTGTAGCGGTGGACGTGTGACACCAGTGCCGGACGTCGCACGCCGTATTTCTCTCTGCGAGATGGAGGTAGCGTGCTCCGCCGTTGCCGGGATCTGCGCGCGTGTCCTCTGCCATCCTCTGGACACGGTCAAAACAGTCGCTTTCACCGGCTTTGCAGGAGAGCACGACGTCAGGCCTGCTGCTAGACCGTCCGCTGCTGCCGTCCTGCAGGAGGCGCCGCGTTCCTCGTTTATCAGCTCGGCCAGATCCATCTGGGTCCGCGAGGGCATCACAGGGTTTTACCGCGGCGTGGGCGTGGCCGCCGTCGGCTCCGCGCCGGGAGTTGCTCTCTACCTCACCACGTACGATCGTTGTAGCACGTCGTGGAAGGCCTTCGGGGATGCGAAACGAACGAAGGATGCCGCCACGAGCGAGAGCAGTCGCAGCGGTGACGGTCCTGCTGTCTCGACGGCTGTTGTGGAGTCCCTCCGCACCGTCGCGGCCAGCGCACCCGCCGGTGTGCGCTTCTTTGTATGCGGCTTAGCTGCGGAGACGGTGAGCTGCGTTGTGTGGGTGCCGATTGATGTGGCAAAGGAGCGGCTGCAGTCGCAGCCACCGACCTTGCGGGCGCGCTACACAGGCAGCGTCGACGCCTTGCGGCGCATCCTCACCAATGAGGGTCTGCGCGGGTTGTACAAGGGCTACTGGTCCACCCTGAGCAGCTTCGGCCCCTTTTCAGCGGTGTACTTTGTCTTCTACGAGTACTTCACGAGCGTGCTGGAGGCTTGCTACGGCGCGTCCTCTCTCTTCCAGGGTAGCCATCGAGTGCGTGGCACTGACGGGGCGCCACTCCCCTCCTCCTCGGCGAAGTTTGCGGTGGCACTCGGCGCCGGGGCCGGCGGCAACGTTGTCGCTTCCTTGTGCACGAATCCCTTGGAGCTGGTGAAGACGCGTCTGCAGGTGCAGCGGACCGTGCTGTGCCGCCAAGCTGCTGCTGCTGCTGGGGCGCCGATGTCCTCGTCTCTATACGCGTACCGCTACGAGGGTCTGCGTGACGGACTGGCGCAGATGGCGAAGGCGGAGGGTGTGTGCGCGCTTTGGAAGGGGGTTGGCTCTCGCATTGCGTCCACCGCGCCCAACGCGGCGCTCACAATGGGTTTCTTTGAGCTGCTCAAGTCAAAGTTAATGTGAGTCGCAAGGCTGCAAAGGGTCAATAATAACGAAAAGAAAAATGAAGGAGACAACACCTGTGGAGGAGGAAGCGTTGTGCTTTGGCACTTGGCCTAGTCAGTAAGCACTTCCATGTCTCTCTGTAATTCTCGCCGTGATGTAACCGTAATAAATAATGAGATTGTCGCTGTTCCTTTTTTCTTTCTCCGTCCGCGTTTGAGGTCAGTGAAAGGCGTTGCGAGAGAAGGGGGGAGTACAACACTTGTTATCCTTACTGTTGCATTGCGGTAAAAAGCAAACAAACAAGCAAGAAACATGAATGCTTCTCCGCCTCTCTTCATTACTGCGTTTTGTACTTGTATGAATTTCTTTCTGCGGTACTTATGGCAATTACCGTTTTTTCCTGTTAATGTGTAAAGCATTGTGCTCTTTGCCTTTGTTTTTGAAAGAAACTGGCATAGAAAAAATAATAATACAAAATGGAGCAGGGCCGTATGCCTTTCTTCCCCTTTGGCAAGAAGGCCGAAGGTTCCTCGCAACGCTTTTCTCTAAAAGGTGTTCATCTCCTTTGTTTTCTTCTTATTCTCAGAGGGACCGCAAATTGCGTGTACCCCTGGGTGTGGCCTTACTCTCTTAAGAATGCACATCGAAAAATTTGTGTTGTATGCGCTTCAATTCGTATGCCGTCATCACTAACTCTCTTCTCATGTCGTCTCTCTTCTTTTCTTTTTCACTTCCTCACCATTTCCCCCTCAATGTATGCTCCATAGAAGAACGTCTATTTTGCCCTTGTAGAACATACGGAAGTAGTCACAAAAATACCTATTTACTCACCACATTTTTTTCATTCTGCAAATATATAGAATATTTTCTCGGAAAAGGTGGTTTGTTGAGAGTATCAGATAGCGAGTCGCCGTAGATTTCTCGTGGTGCTTCTTTCTCCTCTTTCTCGCTTCTTTTTGATATTTATTCCCCGTCAGCAGGAAGGCGAGAGGGATCACTTCGTACTCCTTTCTATAAGAATCTTTTTATTGTGTTCTTGGGACCGGTTCCAGTGTCTTTGCCCCTCTCTCTCTCATTCTCTCTTTAGGTGGACAGAGAGCAAAGCAGAAAACGCTCTCAAACGCGTCGACAAAGCACTAAATCCACAAGCTCGCCTTTTTCTAATACATCTGTTTCTCACCTTCAAAAGACACGCACCGATTGCCTGGAAGTCAGTCCCAACGTTTTCCCTCTTTACGCACTATTGTTACCGGCCGCCGCTGGCTGAGTTGAGTTCGGCTGACATACACATTTCTCGTTTCAATCCTTCACCTGCTAGAAGGCGGAGTCCGCCGTGCACGAACAGAAGCCGCGCCTGTAGCTTTTAGCCACCGTCACGTGCCCGGAATGAGCTCAGGAAACCCACTAGAGGCGCTGCTGCGGAGCATGATGCTGCAAGGCGGCGATGGCAGAGGCGGCAGCGGCACACCGACGATGTTCACCATCAGCACCGACGGCAGCCAAGGCGTGAACCCGCTTTCCATGCTGAGCGCCATGGGCCCCGGCATGATGATGGGCGGCGGCGCCCACGGAGGCACCTTCGCTGCCAATGCGGCGCAGCGAAGCGGGGGGACCTCGCCGACGGAGCACGACGCGCAGCTCGCCTCGCCCGGCAACGTGTACAGCGGAGGGGTGCCGCCGATGGTGTGGATCCAGCGGGAGCAGCAGCGGATGCCGATGCACTTTTCCGCCACCGGCAGCCCCAACCTCGACGGCACGCGACTGCGTGAGGAAGGCAACGAGGCCTTCAAGGCAGGCCGGTACAACGATGCGGTGCGCTACTACACACAAGCCATCGACGTTGACCCCGACTCGGAGTTCAACTACTCAAATCGGTCGTTTGCGTATTTTAGACTGAGGGAGTACGAAAGGGCCGCCGCGGACGCCGCGGACGCAATTCGCCTCAACGGCAGGTTCTTCAAGGGTTACTATCGTCTGGGGATGGCGCAGATGGCGATGAACGACTTCCAGCACGCAATGGAGAATCTGCGGAAGGCGTGGGCGGTCGCACCGGAGGCGAACAGGGAGGCGATTCGGGTGTCCATCGCGAAGTGCGAGTCGAAGATCGCGCGGGCGCCGGCGACGCCCCTCCTGCTGGGCTCCGCTGACTCGTGCGGCTCTCCTTTCGGCAGTGCTGGCAGCCCTGCCCCGGCCGGCGTCGCGGGGACGCGCTCGCAGTGGCCGGCACACCCCACCCTCAGCGACGCGTCGACGTCGCTCAGCACGGCGAAGGTCGACTTCCACGAGCTAGAGCGCGACGTTCACGATACCGCGGCGCGCCGCGAGCAGGCGGAACAGTACACTGCGATGCACAAGGCGCAGGCCGACATTGTGGAGTGCGGCGAGCGCTCCTCCCAGATCAAGCAGCTCATGAGCGTTGCGACGTCCAGTGAGCTGTCCTCGCTGGCGAAGGAGGCCGAGGAGAGGCAGGCAGCGTTGCGCAAAGCGGTGCATCAGCAAGACAGCAACGGCTACTGCGAGGCGAAGCGGAACCGCGATTCGACTCTGAACAAGCTGTGGGACACTGCCGACCACGTCGAGACCGCTATCGAGCAGCTGAAGAAAATCGCAAAGGAGGAGCAAAAGTTCTTCAGCAAGTTTGGACCGGTGGGGCGGCCCTCGCCGACCGGCACATCGTCAGCGGTCTCGCCGGCCGCTACACCACCACCACCACCTCCCCCGCCCACCCCACCCGATGTCGCAGCCCCGGCGGAGGCGAATGCTGAGCGAGGCGAGGAAGGGCAAAGAGAAGCGGCGCCGAAAGTCCGCAAAGCTGCGGAAGAGGAGACAGCAATGGTGCCGTCGCCCGTTGACGCGTCCGTCAGCGCAGCGCACGTGGCCGGTGCGCTCTCAGCGTCTCCTCTGACGACGGAGGAAAAGGTTCCGGCCACGGCCACCAGCCCCAGCGCAGGCGCCGAGCTTAAGAATCTGCTGCGCCGCCGAGACGTAATTCAGGAGGCGGTGTGCAAGGCTCAAAAGTGCTTCGCCGCGACGGATGCGGCCGCCCAGGTGCTTGAGCAGGCGATGCGGGCGGAGGCGGCGGCCATGAAGGAGGTCGTTCCCCTGCTGGAGGAGGCGACGCGGCTGAACGTGGAGTTGGAGCTGCACGCGCGTCAGGTGGCGCAGACGTCGACGAAGGAGCTGTCCGATGGGCGGCTGCAGGCGCTCGACCAGGTGAGCACGATCGTCAGCCGCATCAAAGCGGACAAGATCGCTTTTGGCAAGACCCTGCGCGAGGGTGATCGCCTGCTGGATGAGGAAGCGCAGCTCGAGCAGCAACGGCTTTTGCGGGAGCGGCAGCGCATTCAGCTGCAGGCGGAAGTGGAGTGGTTCAAAGTGCGCGACGAGCCCGCGAACAAGATCCAGGCGCTTCAGTTTCAAGCGAAAGGCCTCCAGCAGCAGATCGCGCAGGTGCATGAGAAGCAAAAGGCGGTCCAGCGGCGTATTATGGAGCTGGTCGAGCAGGACCACCCGGAACTGGCGTGGAAGTCGATGGCGAACGGCTCCCGCATCCTGCGCCTTGTGAAGGGTAGCGGGCTGTGGCAGAACCTGTCTTTCTCCGACTTCCAGATCGTGTCCACGCTGTCGTCCACGGTGAACAGCAAGGTGTACCACGCCGTGCGGCGCGGCGAGCACGTGGCGATCAAAGAGATCTCCATCGACGACGACGACACCCGCCGTCGCTTCCAGCGTGAGGTGAACATCGTAGCGGGGTGCAATCATCCAAACATTATTCGCATTAAGGGTGTCTTCTTCGACGGTCCTTTCGCCTACATCCTGCTGCCCTACTATCACCGTGGTAGCCTGCGGACGCAGCTCGGGAAGGAGGAGCCGATGTCGTGGGTGACGGTGCAGGACATGTTTCGCCAGCTCGCAAGCGGTGTCGCCTACCTGCACGAGCGCGGCATCGTCCACGCGGATATTAAGCCGTCGAACATCATGATCGCCGATGACGGCCGGCCAGTCATCTCCGACTTCGGCATCGCGAAGGACCACGGCCCGCTGGGTGTGGCGGACATCACGTTGACCACGACAGTGACCAACACGAACACCGGCGCCGGCATCACCGGCACGATGCAGTACATGGCGCCGGAGCAGCTCCTGAGAGACCCCGTCTCGAAAAAGTCGAAGTCCACTTGCTTGTCCGACATGTGGGCGTTAGGTGTGACCATGTTGGAGGTGTCGATGCAGAACGCCTTCTTCCACGACCCGGCGCTGGGCAAGCCGACGCTGCCGCTTCTGATGCCAGATCAGCAGCGCATCGAAGTCCCGGCGAAGTTGGTGGGCGGGGATGAGAAGCTGGCGGAAGCGATTTCGTATACGCTGGTCGCGAACCCGGCGGACCGCGCGACGGCCTACGACCTTCTGGCCCACCCCTACTTCAGCTCCAGCCTCAGCTCTGTGAACAGAAACCAAGACAGCAGCGCGCTCGCCAAGAGTGATGAGAGGATTGACGCGGTGCGGTCGTACATCCACGCGATGCGCCGCGTGCACCCGCAGAAGGTGCTCGTCTCCGTCTCCCGCAACCACATGGTGGAGTCGGTGCGGGACATCTTTCAGCACATCGACAACGACGACATCATCTCGCCGATGATGGTGGTTTTCCAGGGTGAGACCGGCATCGACGAGGGCGCCCTCACGACGGAGATGCTGAACCTCTTCTACGACCAACTCATCACAGTGAAGAAGGCGCTCGTGTGCGCAGACGAGGATGATGGAGTGGAGAGCACCAACGCGGGATCCCCAGGTGGTACCGGTGGCTCTCCTACCGCTGCTGCTGCTGCTGTCGCCGCCTCGCGCAATGAGTCGAGAGTCACCTCAGCCCTCTTCTCCACGGTGCCCTACCTGCCCGCCCCGGACTCCGACGGCATCGGCACCGACCTTTTTCTGCTGCTCGGTAAAGTGCTGCTGAAGAGCATCATTGAGAATCGCCCTATTCCGATTCAGCTGAGCTCTGCAGTGCTGAAATTCCTGTGCGAGTCGGAGCCCTCCTTCGCCGACCTCGAGGAGTACGACCCTACCATCGCCAGCTCGCTGAAGCGGCTGCGGCTGCTGTCGTCTGCGGATTTGGGGGCGGTCGGGCTAGACTTCTCCCACTTCACCGCGTCGTTTTTGCAGGCCCAAACCGAGGACCGCTACACCACGAGCACCACCCTGACCCCGGAAAACGTTGGTGACTACATCGCTCTGCGCGTCAAGTTCGATTTGATCGAGAAGCGGCGCGTTGCGCTCGAGTCGACGAAGAAGGGGTTCTTCTGTGAGCCGTCGCTGGAGCACCATCTGAAGCTGCTCTCCGCCTCCGACCTGCTACTACTGCTGTGTGGGCAGTTGCACATCTCCGCCCAGATCATCGTGGACGCGTTGGAGTTTCAAGGCTTCGACAGCAGCTCCACCACGCCGAAGTTCCTGAAAGAAGTGTTGCTGGACATGTCGCAAAACAACCTGCGACGCTTCCTTCAGCTGTGCACGGCCACCGCCGCAGTGCCGGTGAACGGGCCGATGAAGAAGATAAAGGTGCTCAAGTGCGCGGATGCGCAGCGGCTGCCAGTGGGCCACGGCTGCGTGAACCAGCTGGATCTGCCTGACTACAACGACAAGCAGACGATCAAGGACAAGCTGGAGATCGCCCTCGCCCACGCTAGCGATGGTTTCCACATTGTTTAAGCACCATTCGAGCTTTTGGGCCCTTTTTCCCTTCGGTTTTTGTATTGGCTTTCCTGGCTTTCGTCTTGGAGTTCTAGAACACGTTCTGTGCCGCAGCAAGGAAAACTGAACGCACTCTACTCCCCACCTTTTAATATTCTATCTCCTCCTCCTAAGATTATTACTATTACTGTTACTGTTACTAATCTTATTATTTCACGCTTCATAATTTGTGATTTGGCTATCTTTCCCTTTCCCCCTCTATTTCAGGTTGCAACGCCAGCCATGCGGCTGTTTGGAATGCTTGTCGTGTTTGTCGTGGTGTCTTTGCAGAGGAAGCATTTGCTTGTGTATTTCTTTTTAGTTAGGGGAAATATATTTTTAGTGTGTTTTCGGTGTGTTGAACAGCGTTGGACGAACTGTTTTGCTCCTCTGTCTGTTGTCCTCAGCGGTGTGCTGAATGGACCATTTATGCTGGAGAGGCGAAAATAAAAAAGAAGAAGAACAAAAGCAACATAAAAAACAAAGCCGTCGCCGAACAATGAATGCTTCGCAATGATCCTGCATGTACGAAGCGAAAGCGCACTCCCTTAGTTGCGGTGTCTTAGTTCCAGCATAGGATATACATTCCTTACACTCCGCCTCCGCCGCTGACTTCTAGTTGTTGTGCTGCGGACGCATGTTTGCTGCGCGTACATTCCTTGTTTTTTTTTCCCTGTACAAACATCCTCCTGGCGCTATTGTATTCCTCTCTCATTGACTCTTTCCATAATGAACTGTATTATTGTTATTTCTCTTTTTCTGAGTTTACCCGTTCTCCTGAACAACTTGCTCGCTCGCCTCGCACACCCGTCTTGTTTTCGCGGCGCAGCTTAGCATTGAATGCGTTGCGGCTTTGCTCACATTATTTGCTGAAAAAAAAAGAAATATAGAGAAAAGAACTAGGTGGAACAACAAAGCAAGAATCGATTAATAATAAGACAGAAACACCCCCAAACAATCTCAAACGTCCACCCAACATATACACACAAACGCGTTTCATCTAACAGCACGTTCCCCCCTCCCCCTTTGCCAGTTCATGTAAAGGCTTCTCTTCTCTTCTTCTTTTGGCTTCTCTTGTTTTATAGCATCTCTTGTGCTTTCGATTGAACGTTTTTTTTCCCATTTTTAAATTGTTTAGTGCGTTCACTCACAGAAAGCGGTCTTCTCTCTCTTTCTCCATCTCTTTTATCTTTTTTTTTTTTGGTAGATACTCTAACAACAACAGGTTCCCCCTTCACTTGTTCTCTGAAAATGATAAGCTCAGGCAGGGATGAGGAGGCGGCGCGATCATCGCAGGAGAACCGCCACCACCACAAAGAAGACGACTCCTCTTCCGGGGCCGCATCGACGAAGCTGCCTGACCAGATAAAGACGTCCAGCAAGTCCTCTCCGAAACTGGCCACCTACACTTTTGAGAAGCCCGACACGTCGGGCTGGAAACTGAGCGACTTTGAGCTGAAAAGCACGCTGGGCACCGGCTCCTTTGGTCGCGTGCGCGTGGCCCATCGCAAAGGCTCGGACGAGTACTACGCGATCAAGTGTCTGAAGAAGCGCGAGATCATCAAGATGAAGCAGCAGCAGCACCTTAGCCAGGAGAAAACGATTCTGATGGAGCTGTGCCACCCATTCATCGTGAACATGATGTGCTCTTTCCAGGACGAGAAGAAGGTGTACTTTGTGTTGGAGTTCGTGATGGGCGGAGAGATGTTCACGCATCTGCGTACCGCTGGGCGGTTTCCAAACGATGTGGCGAAGTTCTATCACGCGGAGCTTGTGTTGGCCTTCGAGTACCTGCACTCGCTGGACGTGATCTATCGCGACCTGAAGCCCGAGAACCTTTTGCTGGACAACAAGGGACACGTGAAGGTGACGGACTTTGGCTTTGCGAAGAAGGTGCCGAACCGGACGTTCACGCTGTGTGGGACCCCAGAGTACCTTGCACCGGAGGTGATTCAAAGCAAGGGCCACGGGAAGGCGGTGGACTGGTGGACCATGGGCGTGCTGCTGTACGAATTCATTGCCGGCTATCCGCCGTTCTACGACGACACGCCATTCCGTATCTACGAGAAGATTCTTTCTGGACGACTGAAGTTTCCGAATTGGTTCGACGGGCGTGCGCGCGACCTTGTGAAGGGGCTGCTGCAGACGGACCACACGAAGCGGCTGGGGACGTTGAAGGGCGGTGCGGCGGACGTGAAGAACCACCCGTACTTCCACGGGGCGAACTGGGACAAGCTGTACGCGCGCTACTACCCCGCGCCGATCCCTGTGAAGGTGAAGAGCGCTGGCGACACGAGCAACTTCGAAAACTACCCGGACAGTCCCGTGGACCGTACGCCCGCGCTGACCTCCGTTCAGCAGGCAGAGTTCAAAGAGTTCTAAGGTATTCCGAAACCTTCGTTTGACGGAATGGTGCTCATGTGGTCGAAGTGCGTAGCGAGTTCTCCTTTGTTGTTTTTCTTTTTCACACCCGCTTCTTTTTTTTCCCCGTTTCGCCATTTTGCTTCGTCTTAAAGTTTTGCGTGTAGGTGTGTTTATGTGTCTCTTGGCTGCCGCACGGCAGCCACAAATGCCAAAATTCGCGTTTTTTTTTGGCTTTCTGATGTAAACTATTTGTTGATGCTCCTCTGTTCTTCCCTCGCTTCCACCCTTTATTATTATTAATACTATTACTATTATTACTGTTTTTCTTCGTTACGTGGATCCCCGTAGGGCCCCAGAGAAAAATGAGGTGTGCTGGGGTATCTCGCAGTGTGAAAGCAGACTCTTTACGAACGCAGATGTCAAGACTTCTTTCTTTCCGTGCGTACGTGGTTTTTTTCCTTTTGCGGGAGAGTGCCTGTGTGTGTGTGTGTGTGTGTGTCTGGAGAATTCACGCAGCTGTCTCCGTCGTTCCCACCTCCCCTCTGTGCGTGTTATTCAGCTTTATCGCTTTTCATTTGAGTCTCGTAGGTGCCACGTCGTGTGAGTGGGTGGAAATTTGGTGTTGCAAGTTCGGCTCACGGTGGCCAGGTGGCCCTCTTCTTTCTTTTACGAGAAGGGAAAGGAAAAAACTACATCCGCGTGTAATGCCAGGTATTGGAAGGGGCAGGCAAAATGCCCGTTAGGAGTAAATCCGACCCGTTTTTTTCCTTGCTTTATATCGAGAGCTTCTAAAAGGTATGTTTTTTTTTTTGCTGTTTTTTGAATATGTTTTCACTTCCGAAACAGAGCGCATCGCTGCTCAGAGATTTGCGCTTGAACGTGAGTGAATAGCAATGGAAGTTGAAGTGAGGTGGTGTGCCTATATATCGATGTCGATGCGAACGTATGTGCTTTTTATCACCCTCCCTCATTTGAAGAAAAAGATTTATTTCTTGTTTCTATGTAGTGTTTGTCTTCCGCTGAGCTATGTATGTGTACGTGGGTTTCTGTTTTCTCTATTTAATGGGTCGTTTCTTTCTTCTAATGTTACTCATTGAGCTGGAGCGTGAGTGCTCTGCTTTACTTGTCACGAGCAACGGTAGATCCTTTTTTTCTATGGCAGTTGATGCACCTTGTTTTGATTATATATTGTTCTGTGTGGAGTTATGCTGTTCTCGTTCCTGTCCCACCAATGCAGCAATGTAGAGGTGATCCTGCTGATAGTTGGCGGCTTGAAAACTGTATTCCGAGAGGGATGCATCGATGTGATGGCGTGGAACGGTGTAAAAAAGAAAGAAAGCGCAAAAGTAATCATACGACGAATTTCAAACAACAAGAAACCGACAGAAGCTCGTAATAAGATATTTCTTCTGTTTTTTTTTTTTGTAGACCATATAGCTTTGTATTTGTGTGTAGGAAACCCCGTGTTCTCATTTCCTCGCTTCTCATGACTGCCAATTGTTGACGGGCAATTGTTTTCACGGATGTACAAACTCGCCCACGTGCGCAACGAAGAAAATGAAACGACACATTCAACATCAAAAAAGACGGAGCCGAAACTGCTCCTTCTCCTCAAAACGCGATCCAACTGCGCAGGAGAAGAAAAGCTTACTGCGCCGTAATAATGGCTTCTACTCGTTCTTGGATGCGTATGTGTGTGTGTGAGTACGCATGTATCAGTACCGAAGGACGGAAAGGTGAGGAGCGGGGTAGAGCTTTTGAGGAAACGGCTGTCTCGAACGTAGCTACTGATGTGAAGCGTTTCTTTGTTTGCGCAGTAAGCAGAAGTCTCAAATAAACCGACAGATTGAAGCGCTTAGAGGTGGACTCCATGTGCATTTTCCTTTCTGTCTAAAAGCTGCAAGCGCTCCATATCACGGTACTCAACTTGCTCATCTCTCGAAAGGAAAAGATTGAACCCAATTTCCCTTTAAAAATCCCCCTCTTATCCGCTGACCTTCTGTGGTCAACTTTGCGTTTTCTGTTTTCTGTCCGCTTCGCACGCAAACACCAACAGGTAAATTATTGCGGTTCTTGCGTGCGAGTTGTTCGTCTGTATCTTTATTTGTTTACGTCTCTTATCTTGTTCTCCAGAAAGTTTGGATAGAGTAACCGTCCTGCGCCAGTCTTGGTTTCTTTTTTTTCTTCCCAGCTCATGCACAGCGTTACGGTTCTGTAGATTATTGTAGCCTTTTGCCTGCAAAAGTTGCGAATTGCTGACCCAAACTCACCCACACCCTCTCACGGACTATCCACTTACACTGGGAACGAAAGCTCATTGTTTTGTTGCGTGACGGTGAAACTCTTGTGCCTTTCTTCGTTTGGTATGTTGCCCGCTTTAGCGTGAAGCGTTTTTTTTTCTGAGGGGGTCAACTTTTTAAAGTTCTCTTCATAAATAGCTGAGGATCTCTTCTTTTTTGGTCTCTCACTGAGAGCAATGATGAGCTTTGGTGGATTCGTCTTGGCGGCGACGCTGTACGTCAGTCTGGTCATCGTCTTCATCTCCATGGGCATCTACCTCATCAGCTTCCGTTTCCGCAGCCAGCAGAATCAAATGCTTTATTATCCAGAGATGCCACCGGAGAGTCGAGAGATCTGCGAGGATCCAGTGGCACTCGGGATGCCTAACTCGGAACGCGTGACGGTCCTCACGGCAGACAAGGTGCGGCTGCGGGGGTTCATGCTGTGGCCGAGCGCCGCGTCACACGGGCAGAAGGCAAGCAGCGCAGACTCCAACAGCTCGCTGACGTCGGCGCTATCCCAAACCGCGGGAGCGCCCGGGCAGGTCTCCGTGCCTATCCCCGGTGGCGGCAGCGGCGCACTCGATAGCAGCGATGAGCTTTCTCCTCCGTCTGTTACGGCGGCCAACAGCAGGGAGAGGAGTGACGGTGCTGGCGCGTGTGCGGTGCACCCCGCCGCGCCGTCCAGCGGCACCGCGCCGCCTTTTGTGCTCTTGTACTTTCACGGAAACGCCGGCAACGTCGGTCACCGGCTCTCTCTCGCGCAGGCCTTCGTGCTACACCTGCGGTGCGCCGTGATGATGGTGGACTACCGCGGCTTCGGCCTGAGCGACGACGTGGAGCCGATACAGGACGGATTAGAGCTGGACGCGCAGGCCTGCTTCGACCACCTCTGGCAGAATTACCGTGTGCCGCGAGACCGAATTGTCGTGATGGGCACCAGCTTGGGCGGCGCCGTCGCCATCCACCTCGCCGCGAATGAGAAGTACGCACGCCGCATTCAAGCTGTCATTGTTGAAAACACCTTCACCTCGGTCGGGGACATGGCGTCTGCGCTCGGCAGACCCATCTTGGCGAGGTTAGTTTCGCGCTGCCCTGGCTTAGCGATGGGTGTGTTTGAGTATTATATAAAGCCGCTTGCCCTTCGCATTGGGTGGCATAGTATCCGGAAGGTGCGGCAGGTGGCCGCACCGATGCTGTTCTTATCGGGCGGGCAAGACGAGCTCGTGCCGCCGGAGCAGATGCGTGGGCTGTACAAGGAGGCGACGAAGTGCCTGCGCGACGGCGATAATGGCGAACTGACGGTGCCGCTGCGGCGCTTTCAAGGGTTCGAGCATGGCATGCACAACAACCTGCCGCTGATGCCAGGATACATGAATGTAATTCAGAGGTTTCTAGCCGATGTGAACCAAGGTAGTTCTTCCGGCGTCATATAGCGACAACATGAAAGGAAAATAAAAAGAGGACTAGCTTGCGTACTTGCGCTTCGCTGCTTTATTTTGCAGCTCCTTGGTTGGAGTTAATAAGAGGCTGGTTCTAATGGTACACTCTTCAACATTTGGCGTTTTCTTTTTCTTTTGTTGTTGTTGTTGTTCGAGCAGCGCTAGTTTTAGCATATGATCCATTTGTCTTTCTCTCTCTTATGGATTCCTCACTCCTAACCACGTTGTCTCTTTGCGTCACTAACGCGTCTTGTGTTGCCCCTTTTTTTTTGCGAAGTGGACAAGTCGCACGGGCTTTCACTGTTGTCTACTTGTCTTTCCTGCTTGCTCCGCGACCGTAATGATGAAAGGTTTTTTTTGTTATTCCACACTTGGTTTTATTCTTATTTTGTTGCTCCGCCAGCGACTCTTTTCCGCGCCTTTGGACTTCGTTAGGGATTACATGTCCCTCGCCCTCCCCACTCCTTCTCACCACCGTCCGCCACCCGGACTGCTTTGACGCGGCGCCACACCGTTCTCCTCCTTTATGACACTTTCGCGGCGTTTTTTTTCGTTCGGCTATACTTCTGAGGTCCACTTTTCTTTTAAAAAAGAAGTTGAAAGCACGATAGCTGACGATTACTTCTTAAGCGAGGTTCAACGAATATTCGATGAAGTCTTTTTTTCCTTCTTCTTCTTTACTCCCTGTGTTCACCTTGGTGGCGTTTTACGAACCAACAGGGAAGTTTTGTTGTTGTTGTGTATGTACGTGCAATGTATGTGTGTGTATGTGTGTCTACAGCATCCACGTTTTGAGCATTAGGCACGGGCCCGTCAATGGACCAGCGCCTCATTAAACTCTACAAAAACAAAGGAATCCAAAATGTGCGAAATCAACAAATAAAACAAAGCGGTGTGAATCGTATCCCCCGTGCGCCGTCAACCGAAGCTACCACTGTAGAAAAAACAATAACAAACATATCCTAGTCGTTTTCGGATGAGAAAAAACATCTTCCGAGGCAACCGCGACAAAGGGAAACTCCACATTGGAAAGACAAAGGCGCCGTGGCTTTTGCGCTCCCTATCCTGAGCCTATCCTTCACTGCAAAAGGCAGAAAAAGCACACCTACCCCACCCTCACTTATCTCCCTTAAAAAAAAAAACCAATTCCCTCTTCTTTCTTGTCCTTCCTGTGTTCCTCCACAACCTAGAGGACCGCTCAAGTACACGACTGTGGGATTCGCCTTCCTCCTCTAAAAAGATATTTTCGTCTTAGACGTTTCTCGAACTTCCAGAGCTCAGGGGAATATGGCGAACACGTGGGAGGCGATGAAGGGCGCCAAGCTCAGCGAGCCGACGCTTGCCTTTCTCAAGGACAACTTAAAGTACACCTCCATGGCCCCTGTGCAGGCCCGCACCATTCCCCTTTTTCTCACCAACTACGACGTCGTCGTGGAGGCGATCACCGGCAGCGGAAAGACGCTCGCGTACCTCATCCCGGCTCTCGAGGTGCTGCTTCGCCCGCGTTGCAGGGAATTCGCAGCAGAGTATAAGAACGCCGTCTTTGCCGTCTTTGTGCTGCCGTCGCGTGAGCTGGCGCAGCAGGTGTTCCAAATTACAAAGCGGATGTTGCACTTCGTGACGAAGGAGTACAAGGGCGGCAGCCCCGCCAACGGCCTCCCCGCCTATTCCTATCAGTGCTACATCGGCGGCCGTGATATCAAGCACGATGTGGAGGAGTTCAGTAAGCAGGGCGGCAATGTGCTGGTCGGCACGCCTGGGCGGCTGTTCGAGCTTCTCGTTTCGTCCAAGTACTCGACCCTCTTCAACTTTAGTCAGTTCGAACTGCTCATTCTCGATGAGGCGGATAAGCTGCTGGAGTTCGGCTTCAAAACAAAGTTGGACGCCATTCTCAAGCGACTGCCGAAGCAGCGCCGCACCGGTTTGTTCAGCGCCACACAGACTAAGGAGTTGACGGAGCTGGCGCGGGCCGGGATGCGCAACCCTGTGTCGGTCACGGTGCGCATCAACTCGCTTAACTCCGCCGCCTCCGACTCTGCCAAGCCACAAATCCCAGAGCAGCTGTCGAACTTCTACGCCTTCACACGGGCGTCGGAAAAGCTGGACCGGCTGCTGGAGTTCCTCGCTACGCGGAAGGACGCGAAGGTGCTGATCTATGTTATGACGTGCGCGAGTGTGGAGTGGCTTTACGAGGCGCTGGCGACCGTCTTATGCAGAGATGACGCCGACAACGTCTTTGCCCTGCATGGGCAGATGAAGCTGGACAAGCGGCAGAGGGTGCACCGGCAGGTGACGAAGCGGACGCGTTGTGTGCTCGTCTGCACCGATGTTGCGGCCCGTGGACTGGACATTCCTGAAGTCGGCGTCGTCATCCAATACGACCCGCCCGTCGACCCGAGCACGTTTATCCACCGTATTGGACGCACGGCTCGCATGGGCCGCAGTGGGGAGAGCGTTGTCTTGTTGATGCCGCAGGAGCTGGAGTACGTGAACTTTATGCGGCTGCAGAACGTCCCTCTGCAAGCCTTGGACGAGGAGCGCGACAGCATCGAGACGGCGAAGGAGGTGGTGCACCACATGAACGCACGCCGCACCCTTCTTAGCTCCGAAGTGCCGGACAAGCGAAAGGCAATTCATCAGGCACACCGCGAGAAGCAACTCTCCCGCAGCGAACGTCGCCAGCAGCTTCACGAGGCCCATCAAGCGAAACTGCACGGCAAGAGTCAGCGCTTCGCCAAAAAGAAGGAGGTGATGGGCGACATGTGCGACAGCCCGTCTGTGCTCGCATTGCGCAGGGCGGAGTGTGACAACGAAAAGCTGCTGAACCTCGCCGCCCGCGCCTTCGTCTCGTTCCTGCGTGCGTACAAGGAGCATGAGTGCCGCTACATCTTCCAGCTGCAGCTCATCGACCTCACCGACCTCACTCACGGCTTTGCGCTCTTTAAGATCCCGAACTGCGGCGAGATTAAGCGCATGCAGGTGCTGCGCATCCCTCTGCAGCCGGAGTTTGCAGACTTTGTGAAACGCATGGAGTCGGCACTGCGCGAGAAGCGGCAACGTGCGGCGGAGGAGCAGGCCGCCGCCGATGCTGCAGAGGACGACGATGGTGAGGACAATCCAGGGCACAAGCGACACCGCACCGAGCGTAATGAGAAATTGGAGGCGTTGAAGCTGATGAAGATGTCCAAGTCGGAGCGCAGTCGGGCCTGGCGGCAGGCCGAGATCGACGAACTGCTGAAGGACAGCTATTACGTGAAGAAGGAGCGCCGGGGTAAGGTACGGCAGAGCGTGGTAGATGAGAAGATGGGCATGGAGGCCATTGAGAACTCGTTCCTCAGCGTTCGTGAGCGCAAGGAGGTGCGTCTGGCGCGTCAGAAGCGTTAGATGAAGTGGACTGGGAGAGATACGGAGCTATTTGTGCACTTCACGTTTTAGAAACATACCCCCCCCCCCCCGTTGTTCTCCAACGCGAGGAAGAGCGACTGCAACTCTTTTCGGAGCAATGCCGTTGTGTTGCATCATCGACAAGGTGCGCGTTCGAGAACTGAAAAATAAAGAGAGTGTGTTCATTGCTGGATTCGCCTAATACTTACGGTTAATTAATGGATTAAGAAAGAACAACGAATTATCAAGACGTTTTAAGGCAATCTACTCTTTCTGGTTAATTGATTGGCGCTGCTGATTGACCTCGAAGGGGATGGTTCGTCCTCTTTCCACTCCACGTCGCCATCCATCCCGCGCGGTGCCTTACTTATTTATGCCGAACATGATTCATGAAACATCAAGGAAGCCTCAAACCTTTTCGGTTATGATGCGAAGAGACGCGAAGGCCCCACCTCCCTCCCTTCCCCTGAAAAAAAAAAACCGACGAGACGTGATCCCGCTTTACTTTTTTGGCGTGCGTGTGGACGTTCCCTCCTTACTCCTTCTTACTGTGTCCTCCTGGCATCATCGCTTCCTCTCTTCACAAAAGCGACTCAACGGAAAGCATCAACACTAGAGACACATGTTCAAAGATTATTACGCCGTGCTGGATGTCTCGCCACGCGCGTCCGGCGATGACATACGAACTGCCTTTCGGCGTCTTGCGCTTCTCTATCACCCAGACAGAGCACCAGCGGGCGGTGTGGAAGCCGTACATGGTGCGCAGCCGAAGGACGGTTCCCTTCCTCTCCATGACTCCCCACTGTTCGACAACAACAGCTACACGAATGCCGCAATTTCGTCGCCACTGCCACCGCAAACAGAGGTGCCCTTACTATGCATTTCCAACCTGAGAGCGTTTACGGATATCCAAGAGGCCTACGAGGTTTTGGGCGATGTAGCGCGGCGCTATTTGTACGACTTGAACTATCAAGAGGCGTTATTGGAGCAGGAGCGGCAACGGCAGGAGGAGGTGGCGCGCCGTGAGGCCCACGTGCGAGCTGTCGAAGAAGCCACCCGACACGCCCGAGAGCGCGAGCGGAGGCGGCAGCTGCACACGCAAGCGCTTAGCCAAACGCGGTTGTCCGCGTCGCCGCTGCTGTGCCCCGCGAACCACGTCGGGCCTTCGCCCCCGACGAACCCAGATGCGCCCTCTCCGGCGGCGGTGGCGGTTTGCTTGTCGAGCGAACTACCGCCGAACACGAGGGTACAACACGTGTTGGACAGTAGCGAAAAGCAGACTTGTGCTGGGACGGTTGACGAGCACACATTAGAAGACGTTGAGGTGGCCGGACTAGATAACGGTGGTGATGGCATCGGTAGTCGCGACACCGTTTACAGCTCCACGGCCCCCCTATTGAGCTCGATGCGTCATCGACAAAGAGGTAGCGGCGATGGCTGGGATCGCGGAGGCTTCAGCAAGACAGCATCGAACGCGACAACAACCGCACGATCGAGGCTTCCACCGAAGCGGCTCGTACTTCCGTCGCAAATAACGCTGTCCGCATCATCCACCTTTCTCATTGCGAACCCGATCTCCTCAGCAGCGGAGCCGCACCGCGCCAGCACATCGACGCTGTCAACGAGGGCCGCCGGTGGAAGATACGGTGGCATGCGGGACACCTCCGCGGAGCTTCCCATGGAGTACTACCTTCAGCGATCGATTGAGCGGACGTTTCGGGTCTTCTTCGGTGTTTCTAAAGCAACGTAAGGGAGGCAGCGCTCTGACATTTTTTTTTTGTATTCCAGCATCCTGTAAAGCCTTTTCTTTTCACCCCTCTTTTTTGTACATTGATGTATGTTACTACCAATCCTCGTACAGACGACTGTTTTCTCATTTTGCTTTTGTGGTTTGTCTTCCCAACCGAGTGGACAACAGCAGCAGCAACAAACCGAGACGTCTTGCTTCGCTCCGTGCGTGTTTTCACGCAGCCGGCTCGAAATCCAAAGAAGGATGTTTTCTCTTTCTGTACACCACTTTTTGTTTTGTTTGAAATCGCATCGCTTCAGTTGTCCTCACAAAAGAAGAGAGCCCGAAGGCTTTTTTTGTTTTGCACCGTACAGTTTCTTATTTGTTTGTTTCTTTTGCGATGATGCTACGCACGCAGCATCCGCTTAGAGAGCAAAGAACTGAATAACTAAGAAAAGCATTCGTAAAATGGAAAGAAAGACACGAACACTTCTAATATGAACGTGTATGTTGCTCTCCTTTTTTTCCTGTCCTTTTCGCAATGACCTTGTATGGTGTTGAATGCGCTACTGACTCTGTGCGTGTCGCATGGCAGTCAAAGGGTTGCTGCGGGTTTTTTTTTTTTTTTGACAGTCGTCACTGTCACTCCTCCTGCGTAGAGCTCACGGGCGATGTAAGCGCTCTTGTACACTTCTTAACGACTGAATGCCCAGCAGAGGAAGTAAACGCTTCTTTCCCCTTTTCACAATTACTTGCCCGCTGTATCCTCCCATCTTTCTCTCCTTTTGGTTTCTATCTGAAACAAAGTCAATAACACTAAATCAATCTGCCGCTTTTCCGCAAACGTTTTGGCTAAGGTGGCACACATGCGCACTCTCACACTGACACGACTCCGTTGGTTGAATTGTGCTGCCCCGTGCCTGACGACACCGTGAGTCTTCCATCTAGCGTCCAGCGGAAATGTGCGACACATCTGCCACTGCAGACGACGTAGAGCTACGCTTGTTGAATCACTGTCTCAGCAATTCTGTTCAGGTGCACTACCTCGTGACTAGCTCCTTCACAGGGGATAGCTGGCAGTCCTCATCTCTACTGGAGGCAGACACGCAGCGTTACATGAAGGCATTGCTGATGAAGTACGGTACCAGCACCGCGCTTCGTAGTCGCCTCGTCTCTGGTGATTCATTGTATTACCTGCAGTGCCTGACGAATGCGGAGACGCGTTGTGACTTTGTTCGCGTGGCTGCCGCGCCCTTCTTTCCTTTGGCGTCTGCTGAGTGAGTCCGGCGTTCGATGAAAACGAGCGGACGTAGAAAAAGAGAAAGAAGCTTAAAGTACAACCTCCTTTTTTTCTTGTACGGAATGGGCGAAGCGGTACCGCAACAGCTGTTCCTTTTGGGTCGGCTGATGGCCGCACCGCTTGGATTTCTACCTTGGTCGCTGTGATGCACCGCTTTTTCCAACGTGTGTGACTGAAATGGCTGGGCAAAGAAGTTGTCTTTTCCCCCATTCTCCACCTTTTTGCTGTAACTCCTCCTTCTTTTCTTCCTCCGCCTCTCGCTTCGCAAGAACAGCTTTCTGCGGCAACTATCGTACTGAGCAGGTCGTCAAACCTGTCCAGGTTTTCGACGCCCTTTTTTTGAACTCCCAAGAAAATTGCGTTGCTGAGCAGCACCGTGTATTCAGATCTTCAATGTTATTGCTGCTGTTGCTCTCTTGCATTTACAGGTCATCGGTTCTTCACCATTTTTTTTGTTTTGTTTACCGCAGAGTAAATTCTCCAGCTACTCAGTTCAACTGCCTAATATATATAACAACGTAAAGTGCCCCTACCCAACTCACACCCCATACATCACCGCATACAGTAGTCTGACATACAGATATACGCATAGAACTGACCCCCCCCCCCCCACCACCAGCTGCATAGGCGCAGTCTCATCCTCGAAGCCTGCGCTGTTGTTGCTCACCACGCCTGCCCCTTTCCACCTTCCTCTCTTTACTCGCCGCTTCTTCTGTCCGCACTGTGTGCCGTCAATAATAATAAAAAGTGTTGTGACCACCTTTTTGCAGTTCTCGTTTGGACGAACATGTTGGGCACGGTGGACGAGATCGATTACGATGGCGATCGTGTCCGCAAGGTGGTGGTGCGCTTCCCCGCACTGCGCGCCGGTGACTCTGCAACGGTGAAGGAGGTGCGAGCGTGCGAGCGGATTGGCCAGGGCTCCTTCGGCACGGTGTACCGCGCCGTTTGTGAGGGCTACCCGCGACTTGCGTTGAAGATATCTACCGGCAAGAGCACCCGGCTGCGGCAGGAGTTAGACGTGCTGAGTCGCGTGTGCACCAAGGGCCGACTGCTGCTGCCGCGCTTTGAGTTTGGTGCGCTGAACAAAACGGCCGATTTGATTGTCGTTGGCATGGAGCTGTGCGTGCCGAGCACGCTGCACGATCTCCTCCTTAGCACCCGCATCACGAGCGAGGCGGAAATGCTCTTCATGGCCTACCAGGCCGTCCAAGCGGTCTCGTACGTCCATGAGGAGGGCTGCATTCACCGGGATATCAAGCTGCAGAACTTCGTGTTTGATCTGGACGGTAATCTGAAGCTCATCGACTTTGGACTTGCCTGCAACTCACTCAGCCCACCGGCGGGCGACGTGGTGGCGGGGACGGTGTCGTTTATGTCTCCCGAGATGGCCCACAACGCACTGCACAAGGAGAAGCGGGTTAGCGTCGGGGTGGCGGCGGATGTCTGGTCCCTCGGCATCGTCCTCTTCTCCATCTTTACCCAGCGCAACCCTTACCCATCTGCGGAAGCGGCAGCGCGCCATCGCAGCGCCAGCACTGAGGCCACCCCACAGGAAATACCCAACAGCTGCAGCGGCGCGCACAACAAGGAAAATAAGAACGACGTCGGTGCGCAGCAGCGCCTGAATGAGCGTCTTCTCCGGCGTGTGGCGGCGGGGGACTGGCAGTGGCCCGTCGGCGTCGGTGTCTCGCAAGACCTGAAGCAGCTCGTCAACTCGATTCTCATCGCCAGCCCGGAGAAGCGACCGACCGTGGAGCAGATCTTGCAGAATAAGCTGTGGAATCTGCGACGGCGCTACCCGCCCGCGGCCGTCGCCGCGTTTCTGGGCGTGCAGGACGACTTTTTACTCTCCCACGATGACGCGCACCTGATGCGGGCGGTGGAGGAGCGAAGTGCCGGGGTGACGGCCTCCCTCCTGCACAGCCGCGTGCAAAGCCCCGACCATGCCTCCTCGTCTTCCTCCTCCAACAACAACAACGGAGCTGATGGCAGCCGCAACGCTCACACAATCCACTCCCATAGCTCGCACAGCCAGAACGTAGAGGAGCAGGATAAGGAGGTGCATCAGCAGCTACAGCAGCACGTGCCCGGTACGACCACGCCTCCTGTACGAAGCTCTCTCAAGGTGGTGCAGCGCGGCGGCGAGGGCGGCGTCGACGGGGCAGTCGCCGTACAGGTTTATGACGTGCGTGCCAGCACCCGCAAGCGCAGCAAACCCATTCGCGAGATTTCAATCGTCATGGCCGAAGAGACAGCGAAGCGGCGGCAGTCCAGGTCGGGTCGTCGTGGCCAAATTGCCGCTGCCTCCGCACCATCGTCGCGACGGCCCTCTCGTGCCGCGTCGGCCGCGGCGGAGGGAGACGAAGAGGTGAAGGAGGAGCCGCGCCGTGCATCGTCTGCAGGGGCGTCGCTGTGGCTTCAGCACTCGACGGTGCCGAGGACGTCACGGGCGATGTTTCTTGATGACCGGGTAGACGAGGAGGCGGGAAAGACGACAGATGAAGAAATCGAAACAAGTGACGAGGATGTCGTTGAGATTCCCCGCCCGCTGGGAAGGGCAGCGAGCAAGTCCGGCTCCAAATCTGTATCCAAATCATGCTCACGTCAGCGACACGCCAGCAAAAACTCCCGTTTCATCGCGGAAGAAGGCGAAGATTCGAAGAGACTGGCTGTGCAAGAAGACGAAGAAGACGCCACAGACAATGCAGCCGACAACGCGCTTACGAAAACTTCCGTGGTGACCTCCGCGCCGGTGCTGTCCGGTTCCTCTCAACCTTTGATCCCCACGACCGCGTCCGCCACCGAATCAAAGCCATCCGCGGCTCTGCAACGAGAGGAAGGTCAGCGATCCGGAAGTGTCGAGTTGGTCGAAATAAGCGGCAGCACCGATGAAGCTGCTGTGACAACGCAAGGCAAACAACGACTGAATGGCACTCATGTGAACTCAAAAAGCCGCACGGCGCCTCACCTCCGTTCGCGCGACACGTCGCTACGGCAGACCTCCTCCTCCATCCTGCACGGCGTCACGCAATCTTCCTCTAAGAGTCTCCCCACGGCGAAGGAGACGGCGACAAAGCCGCAACTAGTAGTGGACTCCGCGACGCAGGACGCACAGGCGTTCTCGGCGGCCAAACCGGTGGTCAGCAGGAGTAGCTCTTTTCCTAGTAAGTCCGACAGTCGAGGCATTGCTACGGCCCCGCCTGCTCGACGGGTCGCACCACTTCCGTCAAAGCGAGCGCAGCGTGTTGCCTTGGAGCTGAGCCTCGACGTGGTCTGGCAGGACGAGGCTGATCATCGCCGCAACCTCTCCTCTGCGCTTCTCATTGAGCACGCGTGGTTGCTCGCGAGCTTCCGACTGACCATCGAGGAGGACCAAGAGCGCTACAACATCACCTGGCTCGCCGAGGAGCAGGAGAAGTCAGCCGCACACCCGCATCGCTTCAAGGAGATGACGCGGGTGACGAGCAAGAAGTACCAATACGGCTTTGTGTGTGACTTGTGTGATTACGAGTTCCTGCCGGATGGGCCAGACGAAAAAGACCTTCATTACTTTCACTGTCCTTGCGGCCGTGACCTGTGCCCCGACTGCTTCGAGGAGTACCAGCGGCAGTGCACGTGTTCGTGCTGCCACGTTGTGCACCCCAACAGCTGTGTGCTGCGCGAGCACCTACTGCAGACGGGCGGGTCGCAGCTCTACAGAGGCCTGAGGGGAATCGCGAGGGGTACCGCCGCCCCTCACGTCGACGGGCGAGGCACCTATCAAAGCGCACCGGCTGCGACGCAGAACGACGACGGCATGGAGTACGTGCCGGCACCGTCGTCGCCGCCACAACTGCAGCCGAAGCGCCGCAATGGCCGCCCACGCGGGTCGGACGCCCTCGTCGGAGGCAACACCACGACGACCCCGCCGGCGAGTCAGAATAGCATTCGTGCTGGAAAGGACACCGGCCGTCGTCGTCGTGGTAAAGGTGGTCGTGACGGTGGTGAAGCGGGCAGGTCCGCCGCCGCCCTCGACGTTGACGTGGAAGGGGCGGACGAAGTCGCGCAGATCCACCCCCCTCGCATGTCCATCGCAGCGATGCAGCAGGAGCGCGTTGCCACAGCAAAGCCTTCATCTGCAAGCCCTTCATCGGAGTCGCGTTCTCTACGGGGACGTGCTGCGGACGCTCGTGCAAACGGCGCCGCAGATGTGCCGCAGCGGCCGGAGGACTTGGAGGTGAAGCAACGACCGGTGGAGCACCTCCCTGAGGGACCGTGGAGACCGTTTGCGCGTTTTAAGAAGGATCGCAAAGAGGCGGTGGCGCGACAGCCCACGCCGGAGGAGCGAGACGCGCTGCTGAACGGTGACTGGATTCGATACTTCTACTTGTTTCCAAATTCAGCGGCCGATGCGGGTCGTGGTGCGGTGGACGCTGAGGACCCCTACGCGTTTGTCTATCACGCTCAACCTGGTCGCACCGGTGCCATCTTCCTCACCAGCGACTTCCCGATGCATTCGGCGGTCTTCTCGATGCTGGAGCGACAGTTTTTTGTGGTGGATCAGGTGGACACCGTCGACGGGGCGGACAGCACCCGTGCGACCTCGTTGTTGAGGGCGAAGGGGCAGCCGGACATGAAGATTGCCTTCCAAGCTCTGCAGGACATCGTCGCGTACGACACAAATATGATGAAGCAGCAGCGCACGCCGGGCACGGTGTCGGTCTACCAGGCACCGCGCAGTGCGTACAGCTGCAATGGCGAGCCTTTCTTGTATGTGCGGTGGTTCCGCTTTAACGAAGATCGCACCCTCAGCGCGTTTTTGCTCTCCAACGGTGCGGTGCAGGTGTTCGTTAACAATGAGTATGAACTTCGCTGGTTTGATGAAACGCGCAAGTTTCTTATTCGCTACAACGGTGTCTGCGAGCTGGTGGAGGACAACGCCTTCACTCTCGCACCTGCGATTAATCACCTGTTGTACGACTCCTTCGACGGGTAGTTTGAGTTTGTGTGGTGATGCACTTGTACCGCTGGTGGTGACGTCTTGTTTCTCTCTCCCCCCAAAAAAGGAGGCATTGACGTTCTTCGTTGGTGGCCGTTGGATTGAATTTTCAAGAGGCGCCTGTTTGATTCGTCAATCGTGCATAGAATTTGTTTCATTACAACGAGGCGAGGGCACGCAGCGGTGTGCTTCTCTTCGTTTCCTGCTCTTACCTCTTTTTTTGTTGTTTTGATCTCCTTTTCCAGCAGTCACTTCCATCACTTAAACATCACCGGCACAGCTGAAGGGTGCCGTCGTTCATCGAAGGAAGAGCGGACACTCGACTACTATGCCAACGCTGGTCCTCAGAGGAAGCGCAAAACGGCGAGGTGATATGCATGGCTGCGCCATATACCTCATAATTGGTGGTTCTCAGCTGTAACGGTTAAAACTGTACTTGGCATGACCTGACCTGTGCGGCTTGCTTTAGTAAACCTTTTTAGTTTGCTGCTGTTGCGTCGTTCTCCATTCCTTTATATGCATTTCATCTCCACATTTGGTGTCTCTCTCTCCCTCACCTTCTTCCCGAAGAACACGAAAAACCTCTCTCTGCAGCTTTCCTTCACCACGACAGCATTGAATTGGAAGGCGATCTGCGCTTCCTTTTATTAACGGACCTTCACACGATTTTGCTGTAGCGGTTTTTTTTTCCTCGTCATCGAAATCACCTGCTTAACGACAGGCGGAAAGAGAAGCCACAACAGCGACCCCACGAAGCAGAACATGTCAGCCGAAACATTTCGTGAGCGTACGCTGGCGACGCAGTACCAGCCGCGACAGTCGCTGCCGCCCAACTTTAGCGATGTACTGAAGGAGTACGCACGTGAGGTGCTGCGAAGTCAGCCCGAGGACATCCTCGAGTGGAGCGCGGCGTACTTCAAGGCGCTGGCGCTCGAGACGGACCCGCTGCAAGCGAAGGAGCCCCCGGCCGATCACTACATGCCCGTTGTCGAAGACCCCGACCGCGAGATGCTGGCGAACAAGATGGTGAAGGTGTTCTCTAGCATGGACCCTGACGGAAGGGGACGACTGCCACTGTCTGCGGTGCGCCGCGCCTTGCAGAGCGGGTTTGAGCTGACGGAGCAGCAAGTCTTGTACCTCCTAACTGCCTCGTTCACTGTCATCGACGACGAAGACAGCGCAGCGGCCTCGATCGAGTACAACGCGTTTGCCTACGCCGCCGTGCGCACGGTGCAGTTCTTCCAGCAACATCACCTAGAGTTCGAGGTGGATGGCGCCGACAACGCGACGGTGCACGGGATGAACCGCACCGACGTGGAGCAGGGCTTTCTGCGCATCTTCCGCCTGTTGGATGAGGCGGGCACGTGCCGGCTGCTATTTCAAGACTTCAAGAGTGCGCTGGAGAACGCGCCGTATCACCTGACACGTCGCGATATCCGCGTCCTGTGCATAGAGTGCGTGGCCTCCCCCGGTGCGAAAGACGGAGAGAGCGAGGGAGAAAAAGATGAGGTGGCCGCGGGGGCGCAGGTGGAGGTGGAGTACGAGCAGGAGCTTCCGCACATGTTCGATCGCTTGCAGTTGGCCGAGGCCTTCACGCTCTTCGAAGAAGAGGAGGATGAAAACTAACTGCTCTTTCGTTCCCCCCCCCCCTCCGACTGGTGCTGCTCTCACCTGTTTTTTTTTTACTATTATGTATACTAGTGTCGAGGAGAGGAGTCCGTTTGAATGTAAAGGGCAGTGCTGTGTTATATATATAAAAGAAAAATCAGAGCTCATGCGCGGACGTTGCCTTACGCGCACTCTTTAATGGTACGACGTCGTGACGTTCGAGCGATGGTTTCTAAACCTTTTCGCAGAAGCCTCGCCATCTTGTTCTATCTTAAAAGCGCGTTTACTTCCCACTTGCAGCTACGCATCGCGCTGTGCTTTGTGTGGTAGACTCAAATGGTAAAGCTGTGAGAGCTCTTTACACGCACCTTTTTTTTTTTAAACCTACCATCCCATATTTCTTCTCACTGTCCTCTCTCCCTTATCTTTTCTTTTATTGGGTGTCATCACTCGGGTGTCAACTCTGAATAAACGTGCTGACGGAGAGTGAGATCCGCAGCGAGGAGGCGTCAAACACATTTAGGAGGTTCACCTCCCGCTACTCATACAAGAAAAGAAAGAGAAACTGCGTGCTTCTTGAGTCCTCCTTCGCGGAGTAGCCAACGCCGAGAGAAGAGAACAGGTCTGTGTTGTTTCTCTCTTCACTGCAGGCGGAACCTGTACGAGAACGTTGCTGCCGTATCTCACAAAAGAAGTACAGTTCTCACGGTTCATGGGGCGTGAGTCCGGTCTGCGTTGACACTAGTGCCGTTTTCAATTTAGACTCCTGTCCTTCGGTTCAATATAGTTCCTAAAAGGGTCAATTCCTTTTTTTTAAATGGACACGAATACGCTCCTGGCACTCGCGCAGAGTGCGGTGGATCTTGGCAATGTGAAGGCCGCCTGCGAGTTTTTCGAGGTGGCACTCGCGCAGTCACCAAACAACGACGAGGTGCTCGAGGCGTATGCGGAGATCATGATCCACTACGCCCAGGACCCTGCCCGTGCCCAGCAGATGCTCCGTCACGCCATCGAGATCAACCCAAACCAAGGCTACGTCAAGTACTTGAACTTAGCACAGCTATGCGAAGCGGCTGAGGCGCTCAAGTGCTACGAGAAGGCCTACGAAATCGCTAGTTTGATGCTGCACGGGTGCCGCAAAAAGAAGATGAAGAAGACGCTGCAGGAGACCATGGCGACGATGTGCTGTGCGGTGGCGGAGCTGTACCTGACGGACCTCTGCTTCAACGACGACGCGGAGCAGCAGTGCGAGCAGGCGGTAACGCGGGCGCTAGAGCTCAACAGCGAGATCGTAGAGCCGCATCAGCTACGAGCGTCGTTGCGCTTAAGCCAGTGCCGACCCGAGGAGGCGCTCGAGGCGTTGCGCATCGCGGTTGACCTCACGCATCGCCTCGGCGAAGAGCACCAACCAACCTACGAGTCCAAAATCGAGCTGGCCCGTCTCCTGATGCAGGTGGAGCCCGCCGAGGCGTTTTCTTTTCTATTAGAAGTTCTCCAGTACGGCGACAACAACCCCTACGTGTGGTTTCTGCTCGGCGAGTGCGCTCGCATGCGGGGGCGCTACATCGACGCAGCGCGGCTGCTGCGGCGGGCGCGTGTGATGTTGGTCGTGTCCGGCGGCGACGCGACTTCGCTCGCCGAGGTGGACGCGGCGATTAGTGTGCTGGTGCAGGAGATGGGCGGCCCGGCGGCGGTGGCGCAGGTGGCCGACATCGACCACCCCAATCCGCTGGAGCTCTTGCAGCCAGAGGATGACGGTGCTGCAATGGAGGCGACGGGAGAGCATGACGAGGCCGCCGAGGAAGACTTGGCTGAACCGGAGTGGGAGTCGTGCGATGAGGATGAGGCGTGAGGAGTAATACGTTGCGCATAAGAACGAATAAGTTCCCTGATTTAAGAGACAAAAATCCCTATCTTCTGTGGGAACCGTCCCACCGTTAACGAGTGCGGGTAACAGGCTTGTGGCTAAATGGACGGCAACGCTTCTGCAATCCTTTTCCGTGTCCTGCGAAGGCTAAATTGGAGTGCTCGATGATTTTCTTTCACCGCTCGGCACCACGACGAAACGATATCTTGTGGGTTTCCCTTTCACCCGAAGCTCCCCAAGGTGATCTCTTTCAGTGTGGCATACGCATGGGAGTTGTAGCTGCCACTTCTGAGCCGAAACTTGCCATCGTTTCCATTCTTTTTCATTTTCCTCTGTCGCGAGTTCAACGCGCATCTGTCCTTCGTTGAAGTACACACACTCATATATATATATAAAGAGAGAAGAGGCGAACGAGCAGCACATTCGCCGCTTTTATTATCGCCCGTGTGCCCTTCGACGTCGTGAGTCGCTTTGGCATCATCAGAAAGAGATAGGGAAGGAAAGCGCATTTACTCTCTCCGGCTGTGTGTCCGTCTTGCACACTTCTGTAAGTCAGCTTGTATTCGCACCTCGACTCGGCACCGTCGTCGTGGTCAAGTGACGACAAGTAGCATCAAGACCGTCAACGCACACGCACACACACACACACACACACGCAAACAAGCGCATTTCTTGACTCCCTCGCATTAATTAACTGACACGCTTCGCGAAACAGAACATAGGAATGAGTCTCTACACGCGACGAGACAGGGTGGACGTGTCCACCTCCGACAGCGAGATCAACTCTGTCGCCTCCAGCGGTGTTCAGTCGCCCGACGAGGTGGTCGAGGAGCTCGCGCGCATGGCACTGGCAGGCCACTACTGCGGCAACCCAATGACCTACGAAACGAACCAGATGCTACGCGGACACGGCCTCGCGCGCCGCCCAGGAGCGTCAGAGATCACCGCTGCCGGTCCGTCGCCCCCTCTCACTGCCAAGCAGCCCCCTCGTGGAGGAACAACTGCCGCGTTACATTCCCTCTCCTCGCATGTGTCGCCGCAACGCACACCCTTCTATCCACGGAGACTGACACCCCGCGCAGGTACGATGACACCGACGGTGGAGCCGGAGATGGCGGACGACGTCTCGCGAGCGCTGGGACGCATGTACCGTCACCTCGCACGTGAGTACGCGGCGGAGATGCAGAAGGAAGCGGCGGATGCCACGGCGGCGGCGGCCAGTACTGGCGGCGGCGGTGCTGGTAAGAACGACAGCGATGACGAAGTTGCGGCGGCGGACCCGCCCAAGAAGCCAAAGCAGCGGCAGAAGTCAACTTCACCGGCACTGACGCGTCTGCTCGCCAAAAGTAAGGTGCAGGAGCTGCGACAGACGGAGAAGTACCACAAAATCAAAGATCGCGCGGAGGAGGCGCGCAAGCACCCGAAGCGAATCCACGTGTCACAGAAGGCCGTCGAACTCGGTCGTCGTCTGTACCTCGGGGCACAAGAGCAGCGACGGATCTTGAAGGAGATGCAGGATGAGCAGGAGAAAAAAGCGGCGACCGAGGAGCGTAAGGCGTGCACCTTCCAGCCGTCCATCTCGCGCTACGCGGAGCGACTCGCGTCGTCGGGCGCGTACTGCACCCTGGAGGATCGCCTGGAGGATCAGGCGGTGTACGACGAGGAGCGGCAGCGTCTCCGGTTTGAGCGCGCTGTGGAGAGTGAGAAGGAGTGCACCTTTCGCCCTGCCCTTTCGGTGGGGACGGAACAGCTCATCGCACGCCAGCGTCGCCGTCACAGTCAGCGTCGACGGAAGAGTCGATCACGGTCGCGGTCGCGGTCACACCGAGGGCGGAACTCGTCTGCTCGCACGTTGCCGTCTCACGAGCCATTTGATCCGGGCGAGCGGCTTTACCGCGACGGGGCGGAGCGCCTGCTGCGGCAGCAGATACGGCTGCGCAGGGCCGCCGCGAAACAGCAGCGCCACGTCGTCGGCGGGCAGCTGCGTCTGTCGGCAGAGAAAGCAGACGACCTCGCCCATCGCTTCGACACGTGGGCGGTGTCGCGCGAGCAACGGCAGGCGCAACTGCGGGATGCGGTGGAGCGCGAGACTCGCGACGGCTCGCATGCGGCATCGAGGCGGACGGGAGAGGAGGCAGCTGGCGCAACACGCGGACTGAATCGATCGCCTTCCGCGAAGAGTGCTTCGACGGCACGGCCGAAAAGCAGCCCTTTTGTGTCACGGGGTGATCAGGAAGGCGAGGGAGAGGGGGACAGCCACAGCACAACGCGCACATCACTGCGGGCGCCACCCTTGCCCAGCGATAGCCTCGCCCCGGCCGCTTCGCGCGCATCCGCACATGGTGTTAACGGTCACAACAATAGAGCAGCTCCGGAGGCAACTGCAATAGGGGTCGTGCCTCTTCGCTTCTTTGCCACCGCCGGTTCCACCAAACCCCACAGCGGCGCGGACTCTAGCACTCAGGGCGACTCTTCTACGGAAGCTTTGTCTCTCGACCCGGCAGCGCGCAAGGCGCAGCTGCGCATCCGTCTCGGCGCGCTCTTCTACAAGTACGCCGTCGCACCGACGTCTTCTACGGTTAGCCTGGCTGAGGTGAAACACCAGGTAAGCTGCTACTACCCAGAGGACTGGGGTGTGGCCGCAGCGCTGAGCTCCTCCTTTGACGACGAGCAGCAGCGACTGCCCAAGAACGAATTCATGGCGGCCCTCGCGCGTTACATTGCGCAGAACGGGCCACAACCATGGTGCATGCCCCAGCAGAGAAGGCGCGACGGCGGCAATGGCCATCCGCACGGAAGTCCCACACCGACGAGCGACAAAAGTTATGCGCCTGCTGCGACGGCAGCTGCGGCGCGGGGCGACTTCCTTGAACGTCTGAATGCTCCCACGAGCTCACTAGGGTCCTCCGCCAAGGAGGAGCAAACATCTGCAGCGGCAGCGGCAGCAACGCGTCTACAGGCTGCCATAGGAAGTGCAGGCAGCAGCCACGTTGATGTTCCTTCATCCCGGTCTGCAACGCCGACGGACTCGGTCAGGCAGGCAGGAGTGGGCATCTTGCCCAGAAACGGCGGGCAAGGGAGGGAAGGTTCCTTGTCGGCCGAGGTGGCTCCTGCGTCTTCCCTTGCGGTCGATCACAAACCTCTGCGGACTCACATTTATCATCGTTCAAGAGGAATCGCGGGTTCTTCTGGGTCTCCCGCACCGGGGCGGCAGGCAACAGAGACTCCTGTTGAAGTGACGCCAACGAACGGGCCGAACGTCGACTCGACGGGTGGTCTGACTGCGCCGCATTCCGCTTCCGCAGACACAGCAACACGGCCCAAAGAGCAACGTTCCGCTCCCCGCACCGCCTCTCCCGAAAAAGGACCTGCGGCGCAGCTCGTGCAGGGCTATCAAGGACACGTGCAGCGACATCGTCGATCCATGACGGGGATCAAATCGGGCGTTGAGTCAGCGGGTTCAGGCGAGAGAGACGAGAACTGCACCTTCCAGCCTACACTTAACCGGCGTAGTGTGGAACTGAGCAGCGTAAACCTGGAGAAGCGGTTGCTGTACGCACGTGAGCTTCAACTGAGGCGCCAGCAGCTGCAGATGCTGCGTGCCTCGGTGCTGAAAGCGGCAGACGATGACTACTCGGTGGCTTCTTGTTCTCGTGCTCCTGCCTCTCCAGGCAGTGCCACGAACAACGCGGCCGCCTCTTCGACTCCCCGTGCAGCAAATCTAAAAACCCGCGGTGCGCGAAGAGCAGGCCTTCCAAAGAGTGCACGTACACCACCCAAGCCGCAGCTCACCCCTCCTCGCGCATCTTCTGGCGACGGCGGCGACGTCTCTTCCGCTGCGCAGGTGAGGAGCCCGTCTATCAACGTGTCGAGTCTGTCCAGCACCACAGCAGCGGGCGAACACAGCGGAGCAACGGTGTCGAACAGACCGTCTCCCGCACGAAAGGGGCCGTGCCCGACGGAGGAGTTGAAGAGTTTCACCCTGGCAGGGCCGCTCGACCCACAAAGCCCCACACGTTTGTCGACAAACGGAGCGGGCGAGACGCCTTCAGACAGCGCTGCGGTTGTGCCGGCGGCGTCTCGCTTCCGCGCAACGAAGCCAGACAAGGCTGTTTTAGCCGCTGACGACGTCGTCACACCACGCCACGCCGCCCGACGGCAGCAAAACTTGAATAGAACCGCTCCTTAATAATAAGAAGAATGAAAACTGCTGTTGCTGCCGTGCTGTTTCATACTCTCCCTACCTACCGCATAGAACTTGTATTTGACACAACTGCATCTCTTTTTTTGTTTGTTTTCTGAATTCAATAGCTGAACTGCCTGACATTCACACACCATTAGATGCACCGTATTCCGCGCGGCCACGCGTCGTTTACACACCTGTTCGTTGACTTCCTGTCCTCTTAGAATGCGTTTTTCGCAACTGCTTTAAAGAAAGAAAACACAAACAAATCAACCCATCTCCCGCACAACCAGAAAACACACCTGACGAAACCGATTTTCACCGCGCACTTTTTCTGTCGGTGACCTCGGTAAGCAAACCGCATCTATGGGAGAAAGAAACCAGGCTCGTTTTAGAGCTTTACGAGAATGTGCCGTGTGAGCGGTACACGCGTCGTGTCTCTGCGTTAGTTTCCTTGAGAACAGGTGTTTTTATATTCATATGCCGGCATCATGGTTCTCGTACAGACTACTACGGACGTACTCATCCGCTGCTTACTGCCTCTTTTTCTTGTCTAACATGTCTTCACCCCCCCCCCCCCACACACACACACGTGCCTCAAAAACCTCCCTTTTGTTTTCCCACCGCAGAGAACTGATTGAGTGGCTCGTTGCGTTCTTTCTTGCCGGCTTTCCTTCGACCACAATGGGCGATCCGTTTGTACGGCCGGGGCTGGAGTACGCGCCGCACGTGGAGCAGGTGCTGTTGAAGCATGAGGGTACTATGACCCTGGAGACGACCAAGGACGACTGGATGCGCTCGCAGCACCGGGACACGCTCGCTGCATTGATTGAGAAACGTGATCAGCTGGAGTACCTGTGCATCGCCGAAAACCTGCCGCCGGCAAAGATGGAGCGGATTCTGCTGGAGCGGATGGTAGATCCCATTGCCAAGCGCTGAGGACTGCTAAATTCGCCCTTGTGTAGCGGTATCGTGGAAGTTGCCGTCCTGCCCACCTTACGGCAGCTGTTTCCTTGTAATTTAAAAAGCTTTGTGCTGCTGTGCTGGTCGGCGTTCTTGTTTCACCTGGTAGCGGTGCAGCCAAGCTTTGGCGTTTCATTTGTTTTTTTTTTCCTTTCTCTGGTACTGTGTGATACTCCCGTTGGGGGGTTCAGGTTGTTTGGAGAAGAGAAGAAGATCTCGAGGAAAGAAGACAACGTTTTGATATGCTGCTGCGGTCCATTACGAAACAACTGACGAGTCTTTCGGAGCTTCAGTTCTCTGTCGCCCTCAAACACGAGCTCGGCCGGCAGGCTTCCACAGTCGGGTCCCGAGCTGTGATGAGGCCTTCGCGTTCTTTACTGTCCGTTGTATCATTCTTTTTCTCTTCTTTCCAATTGCTGCTTTGCTGTTGTGAAGGAGTACGGAAGCCAACAGTGATAAAAACAGTTAGCGACAGTAGCACCTTTACATGCGTCGTGCAGCAATCGGCTGCTGCTGCGGAGGCATAGCGACTGCCTTGTCGGCCGTCTCCACCGCGGCCGCTCCGTCGCCAACTACCACGCTCCGACGATGGCAGACGCGCGTGCCCAACAAGGGCTACCGCAAGCAAGCCACGGACATCCCCGATCGCATCAGAGACGCCATGGCCCTCTTTGGGGCAGACATGAGCAACATCACGTCGGAAGAAGACCCACCCTACGTGCCAGAACAGCAGCGGCGACAGATGCTGCAGGAGGTGATGTCCAGCACCCAGAACACAATGCAACTGTCCAAGATGGACCGTCTGCGGACCGCGCTTGATGCCGTGCGAAACGAACCGCCAGGCGACGACAAGTGGCAGGAGGTGTACATGTTTTTACGGACGACGGAGATGAGCACCGAGGTGATCAGAAACGAAAGCGACGTCTTCCCAAAGGCGCAGAAGCTGTGGATCGAGATGGAGCTCTGCGAAGAAAAGCGGGTACCGGCCTTGCTGAAACTCCCGAATGGTATGCCGGTGCTGCCCATTTTTACTATGGAGGAGTATTACGATCACTACCTGGGACGCACCGAGGCCTTTGAGTCCTGCTGGTTTCCCGTTCCCCGCGCCGGGTCGCAGTGGGAAGAGTTCTGCAAGTTGCCCTTTCCAGTCTGCGTCACCGGTGGCATTCAGCATTTCAGCATGCTTGCAACGGTTGCCCTGGGTGGTCCGCAGCTCGGCATCCTTGTCAACCCAGGTCAGCGCAGCAGCAAATTTATCACCTACCCGGAGATGGTGACGCTAACTCAGATGAAGCGGCAGAAGAGTAAGGACCGCAACCTGTCGCTCAAGACACCGTCGGCCGATGGAGGCGCATCGGATTGGGTTTTTGACGTGCACCTCATGACAACCTTCGACACGACCAAGATGCCGCTGGTGCGTCTCGAGCCGCAGGATCTGCCGGCTCTGCTGAAGGACCGTCCACCCATCCCACCCGTTGCCCAGCTGGAACTCCAGTTGCTGCTCTACAAGTATGACGCGATCCAATCCGTGTATATCCGCACCGTCGACCGCCCAAAGTGGCGCACCATCTTTGGCGCATCGGAGAAGATGACACAGATCGACGTGGTGTGCGACCCGGCCAATAAACCGGACAAGGAGTTCTTTGCGCACCTACAGCGATGGAGCTTCATGAAAGAGTTCAACAGCGATGTGCACGTGGAGCTGGCGAGTGCGTCGCCGACGCGCGACGGCTCCTCCAACTCCTTCATGTGCGTCTTCTCGCAGCAGGACGCGGCGCTGCTGCGGTCGACGACAACGTTCAGAGGACGCACACTGGCGGATGAACTAGACTTTAACGCGCCGATTTCCGATGCGCAGGGCAACAAGCCGTACGAGCATCATGTCAGCTACCACTGAGCGAACGCCGCCATCGGAACACCTCTGTACTATTTTGTTGATATAGTTCTTTTTTTTTTTCCTGGCGTGCGTGTTTGACAAGGGTGCGGTAGAGAAGAGAACAGAGAATGCTGCTGCGGTGTTCTTTTGGGCTCTCTCTTGGATCGCAGCGCTGGTGGTGGAAGACACTTCAAGCGATCGGAAAAGAGAGAAAGCACAGTTGGAGCGCAAGTATTAATAAGGAAGTGTACAAAGGACCCTTGCTGTCATTCTTCGTGGTCCGTGTCTGCCCGTGCAGCACCAACTGTAAGCGCTGTTGATAAAGCAGAGGATCAGTACACGCACTAATCACTCTGTCCAAAGAGCGAAAGAAAGTGGAAGAGCGCGTTGCCTGTGCGACCGGCTACACTTTGCTGCGTCATCACGAGAAACCACAACAAAACAACTGACTTTCACCCTCTCTCTTGTCTGTTCTTCATCTTCACTGTTGTGGCCTTCTTTTTGTTTTACAACGACGACGACCACCACCAATAATAATAATAATAATAATATTAATGATAATAATAACAGAAACTCCACAAATCCCTTCATCGTCAAGAATCATTATGTCCTTCACAAAAGGCTCACAGGCGGCGCGGGACGTCATCAAGTTCCTACACACCATGGGACGACTGAAAGATACCGCACGCCGCGGCTGGGTGGATAACGCGCTGCCGAACCCGGAGTCCATCAGCGACCACATGTACCGTATGTCCCTCATGTGCATGATGTGCCCTGACACGGCGTTAAATCGCGATAAGATGATCCGCATGGCCCTCTGCCACGACACCGGCGAGAGCATTATTGGAGACATCTCCCCAGCCATGAAGGTGCCGAAGGAGGTAAAGAAGCAGCAGGAGACGCAGGCGGTGCAGGATCTGTGCGAGCTGGTTTCCTCCTCGCCCGACACCACCTTCAGCAAAGAGCTCGGCGACCTCTTCAACGAGTACGAGGCGCAGGAGACGGCGGAGTCGCACTTTGTGAAGGACATGGACCTCCTCGAAATGATTGTGCAGGCGCATGCGTACGAGCGGATGAACCCAGGCAAGGATCTGGCCAGCTTTTTCTTGTCCGGAAAGCACATCCAGCACCCCTGGGCCCGCGCCATCTTTGAGACATTAGAGGAGACCCGCCCGTTTCTGCAGTGGGAAAGGGAGCAGCAGCAGCAGAGGGAGTCTAACATATGATCGCGGTGTGACTTCCGTTCTTTTATATAGAATAGGCGTAAATCCATTGTGATCTGCTCCCTTTACATCTTCTCGTTGACGTTCAACGACGTGCTTTGTGTATTGCGGAAATGAGAGAAGAACCGTAAACGAGCACGGCAAACCTGGCAAAGCAGCCTCGCCGATGCACACAAAGGCTTCCCTCTGTTGGAATAATGTGGAAAGGGTGGCGGAAAACTGTTGCACTGGCTGCCTGTGATGGGCTTTGAAACGTCTGTGAAGTTGCGAGATGCCTGGCTTTAAAGCTTTCTTGTTCCGCTTCATTGACTTCACTCCTCAACTCTGCCTTCCCCATGCCTTTTTTTGTGTATGTGTCTCATTCACATTGAGAAAGCGCTTCAATGGCGCACGAAGCGATCTCTATCCGTTTTTCGCAGCTCACCTATAAAGGCCAGGGAGGCGGTACTTGGCTGCTTTTGACCCTGAAGTATTCCCCCCTTTTTTATCGAGCCGATTCACGACAAAAAAGCCTACAGTATTTCCGCTCTCTTTTCTTTTCTACCTTTGTGCTAAAATACGAACTGAAGCATGGCCTGCTACGGTGATCCGGAAGCACATCGGTGCATCCTGGAGGAGGTGGCCGCCCGCCCTGCTGCGCCGCGGCTCATCGCGTATCTGCGCGCTGCCGTGATGGCCTCGCAAGGCTCCGACGTTGGCATCCAACAACTCCGTCGCTTCCCCGGTGCGGTAGAGCAGCCGGGGCCCCACCTCAAAGTCACCCTCTCTCTCCTCTCTATGACGGTTCTCGCCTCCACCGCCAAGCCGTCTTTCCGTAGAGAGCAGCAACGAGTGTACGAGACACTGGCGCGCGAGCGGGCGTCGTTAATGCAGCAAGGTGAGCAGCTTAAAACGAAGCGTAGCGACGACGGCGGCGTGCCACTGCTGTGGGGAGTGTCCAGCGGGGTTGCTGCAAATGTATCCGTCAACGTTGCGAGTTCCGACATCGGCAGTGCCTCGGCAGTCTTCGCCGCCGCCGCCGGTAGCGTCTCTTTTGCGCCGTCGAGCAGCGGTGCGGAGGAGTCGAAGATGCCAGAGGAGGAGACGCTTTCCCCCATGCAGCGATGGGAGCAGTCCATGGACGTGTTGAACTACGGCGAAGCCTACGCGAACTACCTGAGCGGCTTTACGGTGCTTTGGTACGAACTCTTTGGCCCCCACTACTCCTACCAGCCGGGGCCTCCGTTGTCGAGTGCGGGAGATGGCGAAGCGGAGGCGGGCGGGTGGGCCTCCAGCTCGTCCCCGCCCTCTCCCCCCAGGCAGTGGGAGCCGCAGGTGCCGCCGCACCTCTACGCCGTTCGCTGGGCCGAAATCCTCACTCCGCAGCGCCGTGCCTGGTACCAAGGACTGCACAACGTGGTCAAGGAGTTGCTGGTCCGCATCCTCAGTCGGGAGCTGCCGCTGGAGCTGTACGCTCTTTTTATCCTGTACGCCAATCTCTCGCTCCGTGTCTACCTCTTGCAGACCCTGGCGGAGGTGTTTGAGTGGACGTCGCACTACTTGGATGTGCTGTGCTACGTACACGTGATGCGGCAGAGCTATAGCATTCAGTGCGAGATGTCCGAGCTGCAGCGCGTTTGGACCTCGTTTGGCTTGTTCGACAGCCGCTTCATTGAGGACTGTCGTGAGTTTAACAAGATGTACACCGAGTCGCAAGGTGCTTTCTCGGAGCAGCAGGTGATGGAGGGAAACACCCTCGCAACATGCCGCAACAGCACCGCGCCGGCAGGACGGTCGCCGATGCCAGCAGGTCCAGCGGCGCGCTCCTCCTCTGGACGGGCACACACACATCCGCACAGCACCGACAGCAGCGAGGAGACTGCCGCTCCTCGGGCCACGCCGGCGTTTTCTCCCCTAGACGCCACCTCCGCTGTCGCGGTGAATACCACTGCTTCCACCTCGAATACCACCAATGGGGCTGCGGATACGATGCAGCGTATTTTTCCCTTGCGCGCCGCCGTGGGCAACGCCTCCTCCGACGCGGCAGACGCCGTCCACTCGAGCGCGTCCTCCAGCCCCGATGATGAACCACTGTCATCTGCGAGCGAGGTAGGGGCGGACACCGGCACCCACCGGGCGAAGCGTGCCGTCTACCTTCCTCTCTTTTACACCTGCTGTTGCTTTACCTGGATCTTGCAGCGCTCCTTTTGGAGCATGTACGGCCGCTGCTCGCTGTTGCTGGAGAGCTGCTTGGGGAATGCGTCAACGCCGCAGGTGCTACGGGTAGAAGTGAAGAGCGACAGGGAGAGCGGCGGCAGCACCTCGGCGCTCTTTGCCGCTTCTTCGCTCGGCGCACGACGTCGCGGCACAGCAGCCACGTCGACGGCGACTTCGACGCGCGCGCTGCCGATCCCATCGTCGGCGGCGGCGGCGGGCGGGGGTGGCGGGGACAGGCGGGTGGCAGGCGCGGCAGTTGGCACTGCCCCGTCGCCGAAACCAACCGCGGCCCCCCACGCTTCTACCCCACCTGGGGGCAATCTCGGTCAGGGCAGCACGGGAAATACCCGTCTGGCAGGCCGACCACCGCAGGCTCCACGCACTTCACTGCCGCAGCCACCGATGCAGTCCGAGCAGCACCAGCAGCAAGCGCAGTCTGCGATGGCTATTCCCCAGCACAACAAAGCGGCGACCCAGACACCGTCAAATCCGCCAAGCAGCGTGCAGACCCCTGCGGCGGCGCTTCCCACAAGCACCCCGTCGCTTGCATCGGAAGCTGCCTCGCCCTCTGCGACCACACGCAATAGCAATGGAGGCGGGGAGACATCTGGATTGCATTCAAGATGGGCAATGCTGCTGCACATGCTCGTCCCCTGGCGCCATCAACACCACAGCAGTCGTAGACTGAATGAAGAGCACAGCACTGCATCGCCCGTCCCAGGCAGCCCGGATGCGGCCTCTGCTTCTCCGCCAGTGGCGCCGGCAACACCTCAGCGCTCTAGCAAAGAGGAACTCGCTGCGACTGCAAACTTCGCGGGGAAGGAAGAGGATCGTACTGCCGCAGCTGCTGCTGCATCCGCGTCGTTAACGTGCTCGGGCGCGCCCTTTTTTCTCAACTACACGCATCGCGCACGTGAGATTCAGCTCTACGAGGACCCTTCGGCCAGCTGCACGGGCAGCGGGCGTACTTCCGACTCTGACCCGCTCTTCTTCGAAGAGTTCCACTTTTTACGAGAAACGGGCTGCTACGTACTGTCTCACGCGCTGCGCAATATCACCTGCTACCCCCGCTACCCCGCCACGTTGCTCATCTTCACCGACAACACGCACCGTCCAGGGCGGGTGTCGTGGTGCGGCCACAAGTTTTCTGTCCTCTCCTCCCCCGTCGACGACGGCGAGGAGCGGCGGGGCTTGACTCCGTGGGTCCTGTGCGCCGTCATCCCTCACACGCGACTCGCTTCCAACGGCGCGGCGCGTGCGCAGCAGGAGGAGCGTCTTTTGCAGCACGTGGCGTTTCAGGTGGCCGGCGCGAAAAGCTCGCGCGTGCGCTTCTGCACGGCGAACTCTATCTTCTTTACGTTGAACGGGGGAGCGGACATGGATGGCGGTCAGCTGTATTTTGCGCTCCATCTCCACGTGCCGCACACAATCGGCGAGGGCGGCCACGTCTCCACGGAACAGGTGATGCAAGAAGAGAGCCAGTGGGCTTTCCGAGAGCTGGGAGAGCTGCACTGCAGCTGGGCAATGGCGTGCACGTGTAACGAGGCATTGCGCGTCGCCTGCCAAGTGGGACCCGTCGACGACCAAGCAGTGTAGGTTCAAGTGCTTCAACAAGGTGACGCGGGTTAGAGGGCGGAAGCGGCAATGAGAGTTATGTCGACTTGGGCAAGAGGCAAGCTGCGTCTATCTCCTCTGCGTATTTCTCCTTTCTTCTACCGTGCCGAGGTGACCCGCACAAACACCTTCCACAATCCCTAGTGTTCTACCGATGATTTTCACACTATTTTTTTTCCTCATTACCAGTGCTCCAAAAAAAAGAAGAAGCCAACAACAATACGGATGAATATCGGTGTGGAGAAGGCTGCTTAACCGCATTAGATGTCTGCGCGTCGTAAGTGAAGGCTCCTGGGTTTCTTTTCCATGTTCGCAACGCGCTGCGTTGCGGGTTCTCTAATGGCGTGATTCCGCTCCTGTCAAGAGAAAAGGCGGGAAACATCCTTGACACTCGCTGGCCTGTTCTTGCCTTTTCATTCGACTGTTTTCTCTATTCCTGCTCATTTCCGCCTTTTCCCTCTCTTCTCATCTCTTTTCTCGTTGTTGTGCTGTGCTGATATTGCTGCGGTTTCTTTTAAAGCAGTCGACAGGCTTTCAAGAAGTATCCTTTGAAGACGCCAACCCTTTTTTTAAAAAGGTGAGCGTGCGCACTTTCTGTCTTCATTTTTCGCTTATTTTTCTTTTTTTTTTCTGCCGGCTTCCGCCCTTTCGACGTTTACTCGCGTCGTGTTAAGACCTCACTAGATCAAACTTCGCTCAGTTTTCTTTTATCACCTTAGATACATCACTTTTTTTTCAACTCTTAGATTCTCCTCTACGTGTCTTGTATTCTTCTTCTTTCGATTGTTGTCTAAATACGTTTTTTTTTCTTTCTTTATCAATTTCTGCTGTTTGCTGTTTCAAATAACGATGAGCTCTGTCGCTGTCCCTGCGGCTGCCGTGCCAGCGTCGCGGCTGCGCTCGCGTTCTGTCAACACCAACCACGCCGTGTCCTCGAAAGCCGCAGGCGCGAAGGCCTCCGTGACGAAGCGGACTGCCTCGCTGAGGTCTGCGGCCGTGCGTCCGCGCAGCACCAACGCCCCCGCCGCTGCGGTGGTGCCGCTCGCCGCGTCCTCCATGGCTCACCGTACACGCAGCGTCGTGAAGCCGTTTGTTCCCGTCGGCAGGCAGGCGTCCGCCGGGGACGCAGGCAGCGCCGCTGGAGTTGCTGCGCCGCTGCTTTCACCCCCGGCGAACACCTCTCACCCGCGCGGCGATGCCCCGACGACGCAATCGGCGGCGGCAATAGCAGCCTCCAGTTTCAGGAAGACCTCCTCACGCAACAGTAAGATTTCTCCCACCACCGTCCAGCACAGCAGCGGATGCGCGTCTCGCCTTGACTCGGTGTGCAGCAGCCTTCTTGGTAGCGGTGATAGGGGCTCGGTGCAACGGAATCCTCAGACGCAGCAGCAGCACCCTCCCGTGCCACACCTCGGCCATGTGTTTCGAACGGCACCGTTAACACGAGCAGCCACAACGGAGTGCATCCTGCGATCCGCACGACAGCAGCAGTCCTCTGCTACTTCCGAGGAGCGCAAGAAGTCGTCGCCGCCAAGGTTGGGCAGGTGTGGCCGCACGCAGTCCGCCAACGACATGATACCGCCCCCGTCGCCCCGCCCAGCTGCTGCCGTCGCCGCTGTTCTTTCTGGCCGCACCTTTGGCTCCGCCCCAGCCTCGCGGGTGAACTCCGTGAACTCTCACCTAGCGGAGGCGGAACCCACGGCCGTGTCGCGGGCACCGCGAACGCGGGTGGCGAGTGCGGCCTCAGGAAAGCGCAGCGCCTCCAGCAACAGCGACATGCATGGGGTTGCTCCTGCTGCATCGGGTACCTTCGTCGCTGCACCGTCGCGCTCGACCGGTGTGCGGCCGCTGCTCGCGGCCAGTCGTCGTCTTGCACAGAAGGAAACAGCTTCCACCGCGGGCGCGTCACGCCTGCGCAATTTGAGTGCGTCAGCGACGCAGCGCTCCTCCTCCCCGTCTGCGCAGGCGAAGACGGACAGCCGCGGCGCGCGTGTGGCGGTGGCGGCTGGCCCGTCGCCCTCGCGCAAAGGAGCGCGGGGACGGTCGGATGCGGCGCACGTCGCCACCGCCGATGCCGCCTTCCCGCCCCCGCCCCCACTGTCCTCGAAGTTTCAGCAGACGCACACCGGCTGCCCCCCTCCGCTCTCGTTTGGTGGCTCTACTCGTGGCGCGGCGACGGCTGGTGCCGCACCGAAGGGGCCGGTGTCACCCATCCGTCGCACCGCCACTGCGTGTCCCGGCAGCGCTCAGGTGTACGCCGCTGCCCCGCTGCCGGAGGAGGACGCCACGCGCGACTCCGCTGGTTTCAGCGCGGTGGTGGCGGACACAGTCTTCTCGTGCCCGTGGCTGAAGCCGGGAACGTTTTCCACTCCCACCAACCGCGACGGCGGCCGTGAGGCGAGTGAGGCGCCGACGGTGCCCTACGAAGGCTCCACGGGGCTGCGTCCGTCGATGTCCCTATCGCCTCGCACCGACTTCGATTCGATGTCGCTCTCTGGACGCGCGAGTTACGGGATGTAAAAGAAAAAAATATCGTAAAACTACAGGGGTGATTCTTACTCTTCGTTCTTTTTTTAAAGTACTTTTCAACTGTACATTGTGTATTTGCGCACTGTGATCGAGCGTGTGTGTAAAGAGAGACAGGGAAAAAGACAGCGCAGAATACTAGGGGTACGGTGCTGAGTGCTGCACTGCCAGTTGTTTATTCGCGTTCTTTGGCTTTCTGATTCATTGTTTCTCGCGGAAATTCGTGTCTTTACACTTCTTTTTTTATTTATTTCTAAACCAAAATCGATTCTCTTTAAACTCTTAGATGTTGCTTTCCCTTCTCTGGTGCTTTTCATCCCCCCACCCAGTTTTTCGAAGGATGATAAAACGAAGCTATACTTGTACAAGGCCCATCATTTAGTACCTTTCTTTTAAAGGTTTCCTTTCGTTTTTACACTACACCCCAATCAAGTGCGTTCTTTTTTTTTCCTGTACTTTTATTTTTTCGAAAATTGTATTTTAGTGTTCCACGTGACGTGTGACGCTTGTGTTGTTGTTGTTGTTGTTGTTGTGAGAGAACAAAAAATCAAAATAAAATGTAAATGAAAGAGCGCACTCGTCACGTCTGGAAGTGTGGCAGAAGGGACGTTGTTTTCCTTTCCCAAAGGCGCTTGTCTTGCACCCCTGCACGCGCGTGAGGTGTTTCGGCGTTGCGGCTGCCGATGACAGAAGGAAACGAGGCAGAAGTATCACACTTCGGAAAGCTTTCATGCAGAAATGGGTAAACAAACAACAAAAAACCGTAGCTGATCGTGACAAATTTCGTAGAGACCTGTCAACGCACAACGATACGGGTGGAAGCGGCCACGAGCAACTTTCGCCCATTCTGCTTCATCGTTTTGTTTGAGCAAGCCTTGCTTTATCGCTTTTTTATTTCCTCTCCCCGTTTCTCTCTTTCTATCCTATCACACACACACACACACACACACGCAATCCCACACCTTCATCCTTACCACATCTGTCACCGACGCCACCTTCGCAGCTCTTTTTCAGAGTTCCCAAACCTAAAATTGAAATAACAAAATCCAAAAAAAGAAAACTCAGTATAACAAACAGATATTGTAAGTGGTTTACTTCGTTTCCTTAATTTACTTCTTTCCTGTTCTTCGCTTTTATTCGTGCTATTTTCTTCCTTTACATATTAGGCATTTCTTTCCGCACGCGTCGAGTTTCATCTCAGCGAAGCAGTTTTCACCCGCATCACCATGGCGTTCTCTGGTCCGAATCCCTCCATCTGGGTCGGTGGCCTCGACCCCGAGCTCAACGAGCAGAAGCTGTACGACTATTTTGTCCGCATCGGTCCCGTCGCGTCGGTGCGCGTGTGCGTCGACTCCGCCACGCAGAAGTCGCTCGGCTACGGCTACGTGAACTTCCAGGACCCCGCCGACGCCGAGAAGGCTCTTGACCAGGCTGGCTCCAAGCTGGGCTCCCGCTTCCTGCGCATCGCCAAAATTCAACGGGACCCCTCGAAGCGCCGCTCCGGTGTCAACAACATCCTCGTTAAGAAGCTGCCGAAGAGCGTCGACACGTTTGCCCTCAAGGAAATGTTCGGCAAGTTTGGCCGTCTCACCGCAATTGGGTTGGCCTGCGACGAGAAGGGCGAGTCCCGCGGCTATGCCCGCATCTCCTTCGAGCGCGAGGACGCCGCCGTGCAGGCAGTGACCGAGCTGGACGGGATGGAGATGGACGGGCAGGCGATCGTGGTGGAGCGCTACCAGGCGCAGCACCGCGACGAGCTGCTGAAGCAGTTCACGAATCTGTACGTCAAGAACCTCGACCCCGCCGTCACGGACGATAAGCTGCGCGCCTTCTTTGCCAAGTTCGGCGAGGTCAGCTCCGCCAAGGTGCGCGACCTCGGCGATGTGCAGAGCGAGGTCGGGCTCGGCTACGTCGCGTTTGCGCAGCACGAGGACGCCGCCAAGGCCGTGGAGGAGCTCAACGGCAAGGAGTGCGAGATCGCCAAGGCGGGCACACCGCTCGATGTCAGCCGCTTCCGCTCCCGCGAGGAGCGCCAGCGCGACCGGGAGCGCCAGCGCCGCGAGCGGGCCCAGCAGCACAGCAAGTACCCGAACCTGTACGTGAAAGGCTTCGACGACACCGTCACGAGCGAGCGCCTGGAGGAGCTGTTCCAGCGCTACGGCGAGACCGTCTCCGTGACCGTCATGACCGACAAGGACACCGGCATGTCGCGCTGCTTCGGCTTTGTGTCCATGAAGGACCAGAATGCCGCCTCGCAGGCCATCCAGGAGCTCAATGGCAGCACTTTCCTCAGCCCCCGCCCGCTCTTCGTAACGTACGCCCTGCGCAAGGACGCCCGCCGCCAGAACCTGGAGGAGCGCAGCAAGCAGTTCCGCATGCGCCAGAACCCGATGAACGGTCCTGGCATGGGCGGCGTGCCTCCGATGGGCTTCATGGGCCCCCAGATGTTCAACAACGTCAACATGCCCTTCATGAACCCGCGCATGCCGATGATGCCGATGAACGGCATGGGCTCCGTGAACGGTATGGGTGGAGGCATGAACCGGCCGATGGCGCCCAACGCGATGAGCCAGATGCGCTCTCGCCCGATGCCGCAGAAGCCGCCGATGCAGTCTCTCATGCCCCCGCAGCACCAGCAGGTCCCGCAGCAGGGCCAGAACCTCGCTGCCGTCCTCGCGAACCTGAACCCCGAGCAGCAGAAGAACGTGCTGGGCGAGCGCCTTTACAGCTACATCGTGCGCAACCACCCCTCCGTCGCCGCCAAAATCACCGGTATGCTGCTTGAGATGGACAACACGGAGATCTTGAACATGCTGGACTCCCCTGCCGTGCTGGATAGCAAGATCGCCGAGGCGCAGGATGTGCTGAACCGCCACATGAGCGTTTAAAAGGAAGCAACACGAGCGTTTTTCTGTTGTTGTTGTTTGAAGGTGAGGCAAGACGATAAAACAAGTAGGAGCAAACACCATCGTGTGAAAGAAATCGGAAAACCCAAAAGTCATGAGTACGTCAATGAAAGAAAAGGCGCACACGCACACACACACACAGGCCAAGAGGACATGTGCCTCAACGGGGCTGTAAAGGATGCACTCGTCTCTTTCTTTGAAGCTCCCTCGACCACTGTGAATGCCGGAATAAGAGCACACGCGCTTTTCTTTTTTATTTCCCCCCCATTTCGACTCGCTCCGTTGTTTTTGTCTTCTGCGTGCTGCAACAATTAACTAAGTAAAGCTGTTGGGCTACGGAGAGCGTGATGAGGCAATACAGCAGTTTTGAAGGCAAAGTCGAGAATGGGGGGAAAAGGAACGAGCTGACGTGACGGTGTCTTCTCCCAGGGTTAAGCTTTGTGTTGGAGGAGTTTTCATGGAAAATATCGGCGTTTTCATTTGATCTGCACGTGAACGTTTGAGTACCATCTTTATTAATTCCAAACGTTGACGCTTATCGCTTCGTCGTCACGATTCGTTGCAGAAGTTTTCCTTTCCGGGTCATGTTTAAATCAACGTTGGATATATAAAATGCTTATGTAAATTCAAGGCATCTATTGTTCCTCTTTCCGAGTTACACGTTTTCACAAAAAAGCTGATCTGCTTTGTAGATTGGTGGTGGTGTGTGTGTGTGTGTTGAGAGCAATGCAAGACAAATTGGGCCGTGAGAGAAGGCGTTTTTTTTTTGTTCTTCTCCTCTCAACTTCGATGCTCTTTCTTTTACATTCGCACTGATTTATACTTCTTGGTATTCTTGTTACCTCGGGCAGTTTTCGTTGTTGGCTGTGCTAAAGCGTTTTCTCTTACTTCGTTTCCGCACTACGTTCTTTTACCTTTTTTTTCTACTTTAACTTCTTTTTTTTTTGGGAATTATTATGGAGAGAGCTACTCTTTTTCGACGTTTCTTTGTTTTTCTTTTTTTTCTCTGGTAGGTGTACGCGTGAGCGTACTTGTGCAGGGATGCGTCGACGAAGACGTTCGAAGATGGTGGATTCCAACGAAAGAAAAGAGGAAAGAAAATGTATCGTGGAGTGTGGTGAGGTGGAATGAGATAATCAACGAGGATGCGTGAACGCGTGCGGAGCGGTCTCACCGTGGTGAAACAAAAAAAAAGACGAGAAGAAAACACGCTGTTCATGCGGCGGTGACACCTTTGTCGTCACTCTTTCTCTTTTATGTGACATTCTCCCACCCTGGTTCTCCAAGTTTTTTCTTTTCATTTATTTCTCGTGCCTTCTTCGCAATGGGGTTGCGACGTCAGTAGAGACTCTACCTTTTTTTTTTCGGTTGAGTTTTTTTTTTTTTTGAGGGGGGTTCGTGGTGTGTAGGAGTACTTCTCGTTGCGTGTCCTCTGATGCTGTTCCTCGTCCCTTCAATTCGAATGGGTTTGTGTGTTTTAGGCGGATGCTTTTTCTGTTTCTTATTGAGGAGCAGAGCCTTACGCCTCCTCTCTTCTCTCTCTTTTTTTTTTCTTCGGTGTGCTGCGATTTGACGCTTTCGTGCTATTGGTACTCTTCTCCCTCGCCGTTTCTGACTAAAGGAGGCAACCCCCTTCTCGTTTCTAGTTTTCCTTTTATATATATATATATATATATATATATATATGTACTAGTGGTAG